CAACATATATATATATATATATTTCACAAATATACCTATATATATTTTCCAAGAATAATAACATGTACATACTGTATTCCAAAGAAATAATAACGTATAATTATAATTTCCAGAAATATTTTCAAGGTATATATATATTTTCCAATCTAACTATAATAATAATTTACAAATATAACATAATTATCTTAATTTGAAGAATCAAAGTATATATATAGTTTTCTAAGCTTCAACCCAGAATATTGCACATAATTTTCCAAAATAATATTTACTATTTTTTTTAGAAATTAATTAACAAAAATTAATTATATAAACAGATATATATATATATATTATTAAATAAAAAAAAAAGAAAGATCCGGATTGCAACCCAGGAAGGGCGCGACCCGGCCGCGCGGAAATGGGCAAACCCGACTCACCTAGCGGGTACAGCGTCGCGACGGCGGGAACGAGGCGGGGAAGGAGAAGCAAGCACGGCAAGAAGGCAAGCGGCTGCTGGCGACTCCGGTACAGCAGAAGGAAGGACGCGGCGGCGACAGGAGCCGTTGCAGCGGCACGGAAGGCTAGATCCGCCGGGTTGCTCGCGGGTCAACGCTCGCCGGTTGCGCGTCTCGCGGCGGAAGGCGACGGGGAGGACATGGCTGAGGTCGCGACGGCACGGCGCAGAGGCTGGTGGCGGCGGTGTCGTGCACGGCGGCCTGGAACCCGTCGGCGTGCATAGTGACGGTGGCGGGTGGCAACTGTTCACCGTCTCCTTCCTTTTCTTTTTTTTCTTTCTTTTCCTTTTTTTTTCTTTATTTTCTTTTCCATTTTCTGAATTTCTTTTCTTTTCTTTTTCTTTCATTTTCTTTTCTTTTTCCTCTTTTCTGATTGGTTCCTCTCTTTTTTTTTCTGATTTTTCTTCTTTTTTTATTTTTCTTCTTTTTTTTTTCTCTTTTTTTTCTCTTTTTTCTCTCTTTTCCTCTCCTTTTCTTTTTCTCTCTTTTTCTCTCTTTCTTTTTTTTCTCTCCTTTTCTTTTTTTCTTCTCTTCTTCTTCTCTTCCTCCGGCTGCCTTCTTCTTTTTATAACTGAAAATTTACTGTTAATCATGTGAAACAATAATGCAGGCGGGTCCGATCCGGACCAGAAAATAACTGATACCCCCTTAGTTATTTTCCGGTGTGATTTTCCGGGAAATTCCGAAACCCGAAAAATACCAACTTAGTTCCGAAAAATCCACGGAAAAATCACGAGCGCGGGAAAACCCTCGGTTTTGAAAAACGACTCCCGATTTACCTTGAATTAATTACCCAAGATTAATGACTTCTACAGCCCCGGTAAAAATCAAAAATTTTACCCGGGCTGTTACAAGATATTTGAGTTATCGGGTGGGAAGGTGTCTGGGTCGAAAAGAAAATAGATTGCAGATTACTAGAACGAAAAGAAATATCTATTTTAGAATTCAATTTTTTGGAAAAAAGAAAAAAATAAAAGAAAAAAATAAAAAAAAAATAAAGATTGTCTAGTTCGGGTCAGGTTTCAGTTAGGCTTTAGATATCCACCAGGTTTCGGGTCGGTTAGGTGAAGAATTTGGGTAAAAAAAACTCATATGTCATTGATTTAAGGGGTAAAACGGTCAAAATAACCAAATTAGGCAAATCCGACTTTGAGGGATGAAATGTGATCAAATTGAAACACAGGTATGCATTGTGATAATAAAGAGCAACACAAGTACCAAAAAAGGAATTAGTCCGTCATTAAAGGGAAATTAAAGGCTGGGAATGAAGAGAAAGGTGGAAGGAATTTTTTTTTGAGAAAATACATAAATTTCCATAATATTTTTTTCAGCGGGGAAAAAGAAAAAACTGGGAAGGAGATAATATGAGAAGAATGATGTGGAAATGATAGTCTCATCCTTATTATGTGTAACAGCCCGGGAAAAATTTCTCATTTTTACCGGGACTGTAAAATATTTTTACAGTGGGAAATTAAACTTTGGAAATTATATTACGGTAAACTAAGCCTCAGATCCTAAATCCAACACTTGCCCCACGTTCCTGATATTTTTGCGGTTTAAACGGACCAAAGTTGGAAATTTTCGGGTCCAGAAATCTCAAGAAAAGTCAAGTTTAACTTCATTATTATGGACCAGAAATTAAGTAAAGGGGGTATTTTAGTCTGGACAGCACCTACTTGAGTGTGTAGTACACGCCTGGATTATTTTCTTTTGTCCACACCTTAGTTCGCGATTCTTCTTCACCGACATACTGCGCCAGATTTTTCTTCTACTCCTTCTCTGTACACCAAAGCTTTTTCTACCTATAAAAAGAGCCCTTGCCTCCTCTGCTCATCACCTGCAAACACCATATCTAGCCTACCTTACTGTCTCTTTCTCAATCTTCTGCCAGTCTCCTCTTGCTCATCATATAGTTACCAACACCACACGTTCTGGCCCATTTCACCAACACTGCACCTTCTTCAACCCTGCATCAAGAACACCATCAACTTCGCTATAGCCTTCTTGTCACCTCTATCCTTAGAATTGTAGTTGTTGTGGTCGACCGAGGAAGAACCTCACGACACCGTCACTGCAAGGTGAGTCAACTTTTGCCAAACTTATCTTAGACTACCTTTTGAACCGTTAAGAATAAAGCATCATTTCTAGTTGCTTTATATAATTTGGTCATACCAGTGCAATGGATGGGGTGGCGCTTGCAAATTATATCTCTCGTGGCTAGAGTTTGTTTGTCAGGACATGAAGGCATGGGCAATATTATAATGCTAATGGGTTGGTTTTGGGTTTGAAGAGTTGGATAGATAATATAGGATTTAATCGACTGCAAACAATTCGTGGGCCAAGGACTGATTAATAAATCAAAAGCTGGGCACTACAGTTATGTTCTAGGAACAATATTATTATGAATTCATTTAAAGTTATCCCTACCTTTTGTCGACTAATAGTGACTCGAGAGTAAATAAAATCTTAAATATATATATATAGTAGACATCAAGCATAGCATCTTTGATTATGCATTTTATATGTTTATTATTAATATAGGAGCTAATAACGTGGAAGGAGAACCCGCTAATGATTTTCCGGAAGAATACAACAATTGAGGTGAGGATGGATAACCCGTAGTATATTGCCTGTAATATTGTGTTGCTGTGACTTTCTTGCTTGAGCTATGTGAATGACTAAAGTGCTTTGGCTGTGTTGTGATTTTGATCATTGTGACACCTAGTGTGACTTGTTGAGATGCTTAGTTGTCCAGAGGAGCTGTAAGGCAGAGAGCCTGCTCGGAAACTAAGATCATGGTATTGAAGAAATAAAAGTTAAGTTGTGATAATATGACTTAGACACTTAGGTGTCACGTGAAAGGTAGAGGTACGACTGGGTGGTAGCCGCTTGTGATATGTGTTTTGTTGGCCATTTGTGAGGGGCTTGGGGTCCTCTCAGCCGTTGAGCTTGGGGTCTCACGGTTTCTTTTTATGAGTTTATTTGATTTATTTTTTACGGGGAGTATCCTGGGGTTAGCTAACCTGGCTACCAAGTACGACCGATACTTATCACGTGGCAGGGGCCCCAATAAAGATAAATTCTGGTTAATGGATTGTTGATTGGATATCACTTGTCGTATGTTCTTGTGAAGTGCTGTGTTTATTATCTTCTTGCTTATTACAGTTGCTTGTATACTACTGTTTATCCATGACTGTACTACGTACTGGTGGGCACTTCGGACTCACCCCTCACCTGCGGAGTTTCATCCCGTAGGTTGACTTGCTCTTAGTACAGGTACGATGCTCGGTCAGCTGCTGTATTCTCTCCACAAGACCCCGGATCCATACCGCTGTTGCATTATCTTACAAAAGTCTTCCGCTGCTATATGTCGTTGTGCTACTGTCACTCTGCCTCTGTCGCTGTCTTTATTCTTTGCTACTGTTGTTGCTTTGTGAATATGGTGTGCTGTAATAAATGTCCCCGTGCTTGGGTGACAGATGCTTGTTGTATTGTTGGATGTTATGTTGTATAATTACCGCTTGCTACTGTATAATGAATAACCTCACACGTGTTTACCGAGTCTATGGTAAATGCGGGTCGGGGCGTTTCATTCGTTTTTTTCTTCTCAATATAATAGAACTATAGAAGATAAATTTGTCAATTTGATATTTTAGTTTTTTTCCTATTTAATAAAAATATATTATTTTGCCTCATTTCATCCACAAAGAAAAAGGTATAATCCAGATTTCTTTATCCCCCACCCACATCTTTTCTTCATTGGAAAAAGTACGGAATTCAAAAACACACAGAAATAGTTTAGACAATTGAACTAGTCCATCTGCTGATCCTCAAAAAAAAAAAAAAACTAGTCCATCTGTCCATGTATATAGGGAGGCGAGTTTTTGTCCCGATCTTTTGGCTAACTAAACTTTTAATAGTGATTTAGGTGTAACTTATCTGCATAATCCTCCTATACTAATACGTTGTCATATGTTTTAATGTGAATATATAATCTGTTGATTCTGTTCAGATAGAAAAAAACCCATAGAGATATTTTCCACACCTTTATTCCAAGATGTATGTGGTGTTAATTAATAAATTGGTATCTTACAATAAGGAAATTGCCAGTCTTCCCATGGGCTGTCGCATGGCGTGTCTTTGCCGAACATGGCAAAAACGCCCGTTTCATTAAAAAGAAAAAAGAGAAAGAGAAAGAAAAAGAAAGAAACTGCAAAACGGCACGTTTTGCAGAGTAAGCACGGTGAAAATCAAAGTACGTACGATGGCGAGCGAGACAATAAGTCCAAAATACTGTCCAGAATATATTAACCCTAGAGAGGGCTAACCCACCACGATTTCGGGTAAAAAGAGCATTTGGGCGGGAAACCCCAATTCCTCTTAGCCCTTTACCCTCCTCTCCCGATCCCTCGAATTCCATCCCTCTCAGTTTCTCTTCCTCTTTCGCGGACACAAAGACAAGTACACAACACCTCTTCCACTCTCTCCCCGCCACACACTATCGACATGGCCGGTGGTCGCCGGACAGCCGCCGCTGGACGCAATGCGCCCGCGAGAGGCGGATTGGATAACGAAGACGACGCCGTGATCGTTTTGGAAGACGACGGCGACGACAAGGAGACGGCGTCTACGGAATCCGAAATCTCCAGGCTTCGCGGGCGATGGGAACTGGCCTCCGTTCTTAACTTCCTGAACGTAAACTCCTACTTTTGCGTTGTTGATTTTCGTTGAAACTCTCGGTTACGGACGCGTAGATTTTGTCCCGTTTGATAAATTACACTTTTTTTTTAGAAGGAAAGCGTTTTCGGTTTCTGATTCTAGGTTTTCGTTTCGATTGACGTGTAAATTACAGGTTTTTGAGCCGGTGATTGGTAGTGACCCGAAGTTAACAGCAGAGGATATAGAGACCAGTCTCATTAAGCCCAATGCTCAACTTTCTCAGCTTCACATTAAGCTACTAAAGGTTTCTGTTTCCTGTCTATGACTATATTGTTATCTATACAAGTATTTTTATGGCTGTATCATGAATATATATATATATATATATATATTGATATTGTATATATATATATATATGATATTGTATGATGCTCTGGTGTATGATTTGACTGTGTCGTGTCGGGTTTTTTCACAAAAGATGGTATGAAAAGCAAAATGAACTGGACTTTTTCCTTTCTTTACTCTGAAATTTTTCCATTTGAACAATGCTGTGTTCTCTTTGCTGGTGGTTTCTTATACAACTCAAATTCTGACCAGGGGATACCGCCCGTGAATAAAAAATTGAATGATCCCGGCGCATGGGTGACCATACTCTGTAATAAACTTGCTATGTGGTGGCCATGGGTACGCCTTCTTTGAATGTTGACGCTCTTCTTTGGAATATAGTATATTCGCTTTCTTATATTCAATCCTTGCAGGTGGCAGAAGGAAAGATGCCAATTTCTGCAGCTAAGGGGTATGGATGCCACATATATTTAATTTCTAGGAGGACAGTACCTTTTTTTTCCTAGCTTCTTGCTGATGCTGTCTCTGCAGGAAGGAGAAGTCTGACTACAAGGAACTTGATGCAACTACTCGATTGCTGATTCTAAAAGCACTGTGTGAACTCCGAGCTGAAGTAACTTTCCTGCATTTGAAGTTCATATTTCTTTCAAATGGCTGTCTTGTTTTGGCTGAATTATCCTACACTGTTTTATGCGGGTTATTTCATGAATAACTATAACTTAGAGTCTGTCCTTTGAAACCTCTCTGTTTGCAGCAAGATGACATAATGTCATACATTAACGATGCTTTGAAAAATGGGACTGAAATTTCTTGTTTCCGGAAAGATAACATAGGAGGAGACGGGAAAGGAACTTGTTACTGGTATTTCTCAAGCTATGTCCTGCATATATGCGCAAGACCTTGCATGTTGAATGTTTCTACTCTTCTCATAGGTATGATGGAAGCACAGTCACTGGGTACAGGCTATACAGGGAAATAAAAGAGTCTGAGACAAAGGCAAAGATGAAGGGCCAAGCATCAAAAAGTCTACCAGCTGTCTGTTTTCAGTGGGAAACAATTGCAACTGATCTTGAGGAATTTCAAAATGTTGTGGTAAGTGAAGTATTTTTCTTGCTTTCACTCATAGAGTGTCTTAACTTACCTCTTTATTTTGGTGGTGATTGCAGGGTAACCTCTCATCTAGCAAATTTGGAGCAGAAGCTGCAGTTGGTAAGACTATTGAAAACGATGTGCTACCTCTTGTTGAAAAATTCCAGAAGGTAATCTCACGGATTCCCTTTTTGTTTCTATATCAATATTGTTGCTTACTTTTGCTGTTTTTCTTTTTCTCTTCTACTTTATTATATGTTTCCAATATAAGTAATTGTTCTCTGTCATTGTTATTCACAGAAGAAGGAGAGGGTACTCAAACAAAAGGAAAGGCAAGAAAAGCTCCAGAATGATACAAGACGCTGTAGCACTCGATCTACTCGATCTTGCCGCAACAATAGAGCTGTTTGTTACACATATGGTATGACGCACTTCTACATTCTAAATTTGCAGAAGTCGGGTTTTGTTTGTACTTATTGCACTGCTGAATGGAATGAAATATTACCGAGTCACTCCAAACTGATGGGACTCTTCTGGAATTATATAAACATGTTTTCATTCTGTAACAACTCACATTCATTGCTAAACGCGGTTAGCACGATATCATAGATGAGATGTTGGACAACATCATACATAATTGTCATAAGCCTAGCATGCAGTTTGAGAGTGTCAGTTTATCTCAGGTTTTCACTTGTTTCATGTCACATTATTTGTATCTGCAATCCTGAAAGAAATTATGCCTACTGATTGTAAGTAATCTTGTGCGATTTGATCCTTGTGCAGCTGAGTATGATCGTGCCATTGATGAGGCTATAAAAGTAACAATGTAAGATGTTTTCTAGCTGCCTTTTCCTTGTTTGTGAAATCTGCTTTGCTGTCACATGCATGCAAAAACAAACACATCTCCTGATAATACATTTTGATGGTTTCTGATTCATCCTCATTTTTGTTCTACCAAATCAAGGAAATAAGAAGCAGGATACATTTAATTTAAATTAGGGATTATTTCTTTTTTTTTTTTCTTAATCCTCCTCTTGCAATCTGGAAAGAAAGTACCCTTATTACGTCATGTGTTTGAAAATCATCCATCCATTACTTTACTTTTACTGATGGTGACTTCAATCGATGATTCAGGAAAAGGAAAAGAACTGAGGAGCCAAGGAATGAAACAAAGCATTTTGTTAAAGGAAAATGTGCCTCCAGTGGGGGCTCAGACATGTACACAGACTCAGAAGGAACGGAAGCTGAAAAAGGTTCTTCAGACATTGGAGATATGAAAAAGAGTAACTCTCTGGACAGTGAATCTGAAAGTGACAGGCTTCAAAAACCCAAATCAGATGATGAGGATGTGGACAGTGAATCTGAAAGTGACAGGCTTCAACAACCCAAAATGGATGATGAGGATAATGACGTTGATTATGATGTGAAAGAGGACAATAAGAATGGTAGTGAGTCGGGAAATTCTGACGAGGAAAAGGAAAATCTTGGCAATATGAACCGTGTTCAGAAGCATTTTGGCCCACGCTGGAGTAGGAGACTGGCCGGTGGTTCAGACCCTCCCGATGTGGAAACCAGAAACTTGGTTACAAAGCATAGGTTGAGACAAAGGCCCGTACGGAACTCTGCACTTGACTCCATTCTGGATGGTGCGGATGATACTTTATCTGTTGTCCCTGATTCAGAAGATGAAAACTTGTCGAATTGCACAAACAGTGAGACATCTGCTCAAGAAGACTTGTCTGAGGTTGCCGATTCCGTAAGCGATGCATAAAAGTTTTGGCTAGAATGGTATGCAAAGTGAATATGTGAAAATTTTCTCCTCGAGTTTTTGGTACAGCAAAGAAATTTGATGCCCGTGTTTGAAGAAACGTTTTGGAAATATGTTCTTTATTGGAATCCAGGCTTAGCGCTGCTTAACTTTACCTTAGGATCAACTTTTGATTTTTGTTTGTATTTACGAAAAGCTTATGTATAAAGTTTGATTCCTAAGTTTTACCATTAGAAGATAGTTTTGTAACTTGGACAACCTTCTATTTCACGATTGGGCTGGTTAGCAGCAGCAGAGAAGGGGATAGGTAGAGTAGAGACATTCATGCGGGTTTAACAATTTTTTTTTTGTGAATTTCTGTTGACAATTTTTGCCTGGAAGCATATCTCGATTTTGTTGACAATTGATCATTTGACAATTAACTCGTCAATAATCGTCATATAAAATAAATACAAGTGACACATGTGACGTGGGCATTTACTCAAATCAGGTTTTAGATATATATATCTTATGGGCATCATTTGAATGCGGCAAACAGTAAAGTGTAACAGAGTAAAAAAAAGTCTACCTCAGGGCATGAATAAAGAATAACACTAGAAGTTTCTATTAAAAAAAAAAAGAATAATACTACAACCATTGTTTCAGCATGTACCAAAAAAAATGATTTGGCGAAGCGGTTAACCTAAATGAATGCAGACCGTTCAAAAACAAATGGACACAGACGACCATTCGAATATTCACCCGCCCACACTGTGCAGTGCAGACCCATCATCGTATATAGCACTGTCCAGCTACTCTAGGAGTACAACTTCGCTTCTCATCCCCTTCCTTGAGAGAGCTATTTCTACAAATTTCCAATCGGGACTAACTTCTGTGAATAAGATCTCTTCACTCAAGCCCAGTACCTCGGTTAACTGCAAAAGCCGAAACAATATATGTATATATATATATATGTGGGCTTTATATCAGAACTTCAAATCTACAAATTACATATCAAGAAAAATACAAGAGGATTGAAGGTGCGCCATTTACTCACATTTGGATCAGCAAGTATTGGGGACCTCTGTTCACACCTTATTGTTAAGGTTCTCAGATCAGGCATCCCCTTGAGAAAAGAGGCAACTACTGATATTTGGTCCGGCAATAAAACACCAGCTACCCTTACTTCCAACTGTTGTAGATTATCAAACACTATTGGCTTATCGTTTTGCATGAAGAAAAGCTGCAACATCCCATGACAAGGACAATTAAGTACCCAAACTTAGCCAAGAAAAATGCAACTAAATTGGCTTCAAACACCAGAGAGAGAGAGAGAGAGAGAGAGCAACAAAAACAGAAGAAAAGAGGTAGGATGTTTTGGGACATATATATACCTCAATTGGCCAGATGTTAACGGTCAAGGCTTTGACGTTACTCAAACTCTTAAGAACCATGGGAATGCAGTAGATTTTACTCTTAAAAAGATTGCAGAGGAGAGCAGCTTCTTTGCTATTATGCCGACAAGGAGGCCTCAAATCAACCGTTGCATCCACCAGAGACATGAAGACTTCATCCAAATAGGTAAAGTCCACAGGATTCCCTCTCCAGCTTATGAAGTCCAACATGGGAGCATAGACGTCCAGTAGAAATTCATACGAGTTCGTATCAGAGGAAATTAAATTCAATCTCCGAAGTCTATCTCCTCTGATGAAGATGCGTTTATTATCGTCTAATCTGTTACTGGGTGCACCCTCATTTGTTTTGCACTCAGATATTATGCACTCTTGAATGGACAAACAATCGGTTTTAAGAACGCAGAGATGCCCAAACTTGCAGTGGCAAACCTTTATGCGCTTAATACTCTGGCAATTAATCGAAATTTCCAGAGGTCCACGGAGAAAACTAGACCCACACACTTGTACATTTGCAAGTAATGCACAACTTATCCTGACAGTTGATCCTCTACGGAAACAGGACCCAATAATCATGAAACTATTCAGAGAAGGACAAGTAAGGAGGATCCGGCTAAGACTTAGAACATGTGTATTTGATATCTTCACGGACTGCAAAGATGGAGCAGTGATGATCATGCTCTGCGGGCCATCATGTGCTCCACCAATTTCTCTGCACCTGCTTATGTTGAGCTCTTCAAGAGACGAACTTTCAATCCTGAGATCAATCCCAATGGCAATTCCCACAAGATTTAACCTTTTAAGAGACGTCCACCGCATACTGATTTTGGCTCCAAAACCCCACCCCAGTTCCAGTTGAGTGAGCCATAGTTCCTGGACCGAGCCAGAACTCTTATTTTGCAGAAGAAGCCGTCCATTTGCCAAATCCAATCTCAACAACCTCAGAGAAGGGCAATCGTAAACACAATCGGGCAACTCATAGCGATCCTCTTTCCCTCTTCCTGTGTCCAAAAGGATATCCAGCTCCTGAAGATTACACTGGGTTGCATTGACAAGCCATGGACGTATAACAGTGCCACCCACATCAAACTTTGGATTCTTGCACTTCCAGTGCACAAGAAAGCGCTCCAATCTTACCCCTTCCGCTAAACGCGACTTCAATAACCCATGAACGTAGTTAATGAAGTGAACACATCTTGAGTAATCATCCCCTTCATTAACATCAACAAGGAAGTACAAGTGAGGGCTACGTTTGCATAACAGCTTGAACCTTTTGGATGCAGCTCCAAGGCGAACGGTATCATTGACTCCTAGGAACGAGAATATGTGAAACATAGTCTCTTCTTTGAGATTACTCAACCTGTCGGTACTTGTCAGCTGCTGGTGGTGGTCATGATCAGCAAGAGTAGGTGTTGCTGATTGGATTGCTGCAATTTTTCGCGGTCTTTCCACCGAATCCTCTTGTTCATGATCGGATAGCGCCATTAAAACGTAATGCCAGGAGTACTGTGAATTATAGAAACGATGTGACTAAGTAATTTAGTTTTGTTAATTAGTCATCCAAAAGAAGAGCTAACAATCAATAATCAATAAGAAACAAGAATGAAGAATTGCAAGGAAGAAAGGAAGTACCTATTATGTATAGTCTTAGTCGTCTTATGTAGTCTTCGTCTTCTTGAATCGGTTAAAGGCCTCTAGCGATGTGGTGCTTTAAAACTTAGTATGGTCAGGCAACCCAACAGTACTAGCACAGGCGTTCACAGATATAGGAGTTTATGTAGCGAGCCAAATTAAAGTCTTGAATCTTGATACACTTTTAATTAGGGTTTCAAGGAGCACAAAAACCGGGTGGACACAAGTGCTTTTCCCGAGGGGAGGGGAGTCATCCGGTTTCCTCCCATATATATATATATATATATATATGTGAGTAAAAATTAATTAAATACACGTTATTAATGAAAATCTGACCCTTACTTTTGCTTCCCCACGATTCATCTCCTCTAGTAAAACAACAACTCATGCGATCCTTTATCGTTCTTTTCCTGGCCAAATGCTTCGTACTTGTTCTCGCTTTCTCGCATGAACCCATGTAGTATATATATCATACATCAATTCTTCGATTAATTTTTTATTTGAGTAATGACTATGGCAGTCTTAACAATTATTGCCTCTATCCCTCTCAATGTAAACGCCCAAAATTATTGCTTCTATTGAGCAGTTTATTTAATGCTTTTTTGTTTTTTGAATATTAGTAAGAATCCAGGCAACATTTGTTCTTCGTATAATTAAGACTGCGTGAATTCTTAGAAGATCTCTTGTGACTATATTGAAGTCTATCCAGGAGTTGTTTGATCGCTTCATCTTTAGGATAATTAACACATTAATTAGAAACATGTAAGGGAAAAAACTAGACTAATTAGTTAAATATACAATGAATTAACGGTGTAATTAAAATTTATAAATTATACAGAGAGATTTGTAGTCACAACAGAGAAAATGTATGGACCAGCTAGTCCACTTCCCTCCACTTTGGTCGACCATGTATGTATGGAGCTATCTGTCTTCGAATCAAAACTGACTCATGAGATGACAAAACTCTTTTTCTTTTTGGTCGATAATGTATACATGGAGCTATTTCAACTGTTTTCCAATCACAACTGACTGAGATGACAAAACTCTTTTCACTCAAGCCCAGTAACTTGGTTAACTGCAGAAGAGAAAAGAATAGGTGTTATTAATTGGAAGATCAAAATTCGATAGCAAACCAACTATACATGAACTATATATCAAGAAAGGATATATACGAGCTAGAGAAACCAGTGCGTAATGATTTACTCACATTTGGATCAGCAAGTATAGGCGATTTCCGGTCGCATCTTATCGTCAATAATCTTAGATCTCGCAATCCCTTGAGAAAGGAAGCAATAGCTGGTATTTGGTCCGGGAACAAATTCCCTTGAGCTACCAGTTCCAAGTATTGTAGATTGTAAAACACTGGTGGGTCACCGTTTTGCAAGAAGTAAAGCTGCAACATCACATGACAAACAAAAAGAAATTAGCCAAGAAAAATGGGAGCAAATTAGCTATAAGAGACAAAACTGAAAGGCAGGAAGGAAGACATGTATGTACTACGTACCTCAATAGGCCAGAGGTTTGTAGTCAGGAATTTCACGGATGTTAGACTTGCAAGAAGCTTGATAACGCTATAGATTTTACTCTTAGAAAGCAAGCAGAGGCGAGCAGCTTCCTTCCTCCTATGCTGACAGCAGGGAGGTTTCATATCAATTGTTGCATTCTCTAGGACCGGGAAGTCATCCAAATAAGTAAAATCTACAGGGTTACCATTCCATCTTATCATTCTCAGCCTGGGAGAATGGATGTCCAATACAAATTGATATGAGTTTATATCAGATGATCTTAAATGCAGTCTCTCAAGGTTGTTTCCGATGATGAGCATTCGTTTATAAGGGTCTAATCTGTTCATTGTTGTTCCGAGATCTGTCTTGCACTCGGATATTGTGCAATCTTCAATGGATAAACAACTGGTGCTAATATGGCAAAGATCATGAAACTCGCAGTGGCTAACCCTCACGTGCTTTATAGTTGTGCTTAACATGGAAAATTTAAAAGAATCACCGAATTTGCACCAACATACTTGTATACTTTCAGTCGATGGAGATTTTATCCTGAAAATTGAGCTATCCCTGAATTTGCAGTCATCCAGGATGAAATTTTGCAGAGATAGAGAGGTTACAGAAATCAGGGTATGAACAAAAAATTGGGACATGGATATCGTCAAGGATTTCAAAGAAGGACCTGAGATGATCACCGATTGCTGGTCTTCACCAGTTCTACAACAACTCCCAAAGTCGCACCTGCTTATTGTAAGCTCTTCAAGAGGCCAACTCCCAAGTCTGAGATCAATTTTAAAATAAACTTTCACAAGATTTATCTTCTTGAGGAATGTCCAGTACTCGCCAATCTTGGCTCCAAAGAGTTTATCCACTTCTACCACCACCTTACTAAGTGAAAGCTCCTCTATCGAGGCTGACCTTTTACACTGCAAGAGAAGCTTTCCAAAATCCAGATTCAATCTCAAGTACCTTAACGAGTGGCAGTCATGAATGGAATCGCAACTCATAGCAGAAGTTCCGTGGCTTTGGCGCCCTCAAAAGGATATCCAGTTGTCGAATATTTGAAGACGTAGCAGTTCTAAGCCATTGATTTAGAACCAATTGCCCTATGGTATGAAAGGTTTGATCCTCGCACCTCCAATGGATGACCAACCGCTCTAATCTTATACCTTTACCGTAACGGGTATTCAAGCAGCCCGAGACATAATTCATGAAATCCAAATATGTAGGGTTGGAATCAAAGTCAGCACTGAAGAACAGGTGAGGGCTAGATTCGCACAGCTTCCTTAACCTTTTGGAAACAGCACCAAGGCGAACGATGTCATTAGCTCCAAGGTATGAGAATATGTGATGGGTTAGGGCTTCTGGGAGATTATTTAGCCTGTCATGCTTCTGGTCACCAAGATTGCTTGCGTCTTGCATTGTAATATTCCGCTTCTTATGGGGTCTTTCCATGATAATTCAAAGATCACTAGCAACGAGAGAAACACAGGAGCACTGGCATCAACAAAGGAAGTTCTTATCGTATGCATGGCTTTCTATCCTACATGGATAGGCTATTTTGTAATTATTGACGTTGCTTTGAGTATGCATGACTCATGTAAGTATTGGAATTTGCTATCAATAAAGTAATCGTTTGCATCAAAAAAAAACAAAGGAAGATATAGAAGAAAATAAATTTGTTAGTCAACAAATTAATTGATTATCAACCCGGAAGATGTTTGCAGCAGTGAAAACTAGCTAAGTGAAGGTGAAAAATCAAACAAGAAGAAGATAGGATGATCGATGATATTCTGGAAGCCAAAATACAAAGAATTAAATCAAGAAAAGAACCTGAAGCGATGCTGTATTCTTGGCCTACTTTCTGTTGTTGTAGGCCTTTGGCGATATGTTTTCTTCAAAAACCTTGTACGTTACGTTACGGGGTAATCAAACCCAGCCTTTGTTTCCTTGCCCTAGTTTGAGTAGTTTGTAGCGAGCCAAAAAATCTAGTTAGTTTCTACGAAGGAGCACTCTTTTTCTAGGGTTTCAAGGAGCGCAAAATACATGTGCAGACACTTCCAACCTCCAAGGTAGAGGTTGAAATTTGGTTGAATTCTAATTTTAGGGTTCTTCTTATTGAAGAGGGAGAAAACGACTTGCTACGAAAGGAAAGTTGCAGTGTATCTTACTTATCTAGACCATTATTCCTAAATTCCTTGACCGATAAAGGAATTGAAAAGAAAAAAAAAAAACTAAAATGACACTGCCCCGGGCCCCACAACCTTTTTATTCCTCAAAAGAAAATGACCAGAACACCACCGATATATATATATAGAGGCCATGTTGTTTGTGGGTTTACAAATAACAGGGCCACGAGACCGACCCAATGTACGCGAAACTAAGGGATATATGGGTTCGAAATCTGTAAGCCCAAAATCTGAGAAGGCAAACGACATCGCATCGAAACCGTTAGCTTGAAATCCGAAGCGGCCTCCTCCTTTCACGGGAAACGCGATTATGGCGACCACAGCATCTAGAGAATCCAGGAGAAGGAAGATCGTGGAAAGAGGAGCCGACCGCTTGGCTCTCATCACGGGTCGGATCGATACGCTCCCATCCGGATCCTCTCGCAATCCGGTCAAAAACAACGACTCATCCGAGCCGTTGGTTTCCCATGGATCCCCTCCCCAGCCCTCCGATCACACCGCTGGTGAGTTTTCTGTCCGTACAAAATTAGCGCATGATATATCAGTATTAATGCTTTAAACTGGACTTCCCAACTGCTGCTATTCGCTAATGAGTTGGCCTTTGTGGTCCTTTGATATATTTGCTGCTGTTGTTGTAGTTGCTTGCTTTTGCTCTAGTAAATAAGGTTTTTTTTGTTTGCTTGCTTAATTCCTTCACAGTAATTGAGATTATTATAGTTTAATGACAATTCTCTGCTATTGTTGGAAAGCGGGATTCAGATTCTTGATGTCAAATATCTGATTGTTGCACAGAAAGTCTAAGTGAGGTCTTCCTATATTAAATATCTTTGCTATATGTTACATTTTAATGGCAATCTAAGTTGATGTTAGCGTGCTGTTTCGGAAAGTGCGACGTAGGTTCTCAATGTTTAAGTATTTGATTGCTATGCAGCAGCTATGTGATTCTGTTAATGTTAGTCAGTTATTTTGTGTTTTCTTCATGCTTATGGCTCTGGTCCAGCAGTGTTTCCTAACGGGGACGGAGGTGTGGACTCTACATTGATATCTCCTGATCAAACGACTGATGATGCTAGCCATGGGGGAAGTCATGTAGAAACTCCTTCCCTGCTGGAACAGGGGGCTGGGATCGAAGCTGCTCGAGCTTCAGTAATTTTTCCCAATGGGAAGGATGGAGGTGCGGGCTCCACTTTGCCATCTCCTGGTCTAACAGCTGATGATGCTGGCCTTGGGGGAAGTCACGTAGAAACTCCTCCCCAGCCAGAACAGGGGGCTAGGATTGAAACTGCACGAGCTTCTGCTTCCGACTTCAGCAGCAATCTGCAGTCATCATCATTGTCATCTGTGGATCGGAGGTCAACTGTGTCCAATGCCGCAACCGAGCAACACCCACGACAAAGGACGATGCAAACTAAATTTCCGACTCCAAATCAAGTATCGGGAGCCATTGCCGCAACTGAGAGATCACGCATGTTGTGCTCTGTTGTTGTTGCATTCTTAGTCGTCTTATCATATAGAGGATTCCCTTTCCTAGGCAGCAGCATAGTGAGGAGTATAACGGGTTTCAGGCCTTTTTATCTTGTTTTTTTGACCAATCTAACACTTGTGCTCGTTCGGGTTCTTTTCAATGATCAAAGAGGTTCTCAAAGGGTCGCTAGGGCAGAATATCAAGTTCCTTCAACTGGCCAATATAATTGGGCTCTACAGGCAGGTAATGCTTTGGAGATGGGCTTGGTGGTTCAAAAAGCAACTGATGCGGTTTTCATGGATTTCAGTATTTATGCAATCACACTCATCTGTGGTCTCTGCTTAGTGTAGCAACGCAGATATTGATCAGTTAAGTCATCAATTTCACTAATTCATAGTTGTAATTCCTTCGGGTCCCATGGTGAAACTACCAATTTTGTTTGGACAGCGTCTCTTAGCTGCTGATTGTGTAATTTGTTTTGGATATATGTTTTGATGGTAGACTGTCTGTAAAGGTCCTGCAGGGTTTCTCCTTGACCCCCATGGTTCCAGAATGGTTCTTTTCAGAAGTGAAAAGGTCATCTGAAAATGAATTGGAATCATCCCCCGTTACAAGTTCTTGAACCACTTTGTTGATATCTATTTAGCTGCATCCAGGAGTTTTCATGATTCCCTAATTTATTATAACTTCCTATCTATTCAAGGCCTCGGAAAGCAAAATGTGATTTCGTGTAACTTCTGATTCAAGCTTTTCGAGATGATATATTGCAGTAACAGCAATCTTAGGATTACGGAGAGTCCAGCAAGAACTGATTACCGGGCACTGTAGTTTGAGGCATGGTTAAGGTGTCCAACACGTCCAAGAACATAATGCTCGAATTCGGCTCTAAATTGTCTGTTCACAGTCCACATACTGCAGTAAAATCAGCGTTCCATAAACCTGTTTGAGCACAGCTGACAACAGACTAAGGAATGTAGTTCACCATCCAGTTCAATTTCTGCTTGTTTCATTCGTTCAAACAACGCAAATTACTTCATGAGCCTTCCCGTAATACACCACACCTCAAATCATGTACTCTAGGAAATAGCGTTCCTATGCCAATTTGATCAAATTACTTACAAGTTTTCATTTTGCTTGCATCAGTAAGACATTACCTAAACTTGTTTTTCCTCGTAAACCCTTTTCTGTCTCAGATTCTTAAACTTGCATTTGGCGAAGAAGAAATACAAGTCATCCACAAGTGACCCACCACTTGTGTACAGTGACATCATAGCCGTCCAAGTAACGATATGTCGACACATCTATATGTCATATCATCATCAAACAAAACTTATGCCGCCATTCTCACCTTACTCGAGCTGACGCGCGCAGAAATAATACTGTCCCAGACTTTCTCTTTCAAGCATACCATCAAACAGCTTTCGTGCGTCCATTAAAGAATCTCATTGCATGCTTGACAATAAAACCACGGCACCCTTCAGTTATATCATGTTTTCGCAACTTTGTAAAATGGGTACGAAGAGGTTTTCTAGTTACCTAATTTGTAAGGCATCAGGTCCTGGTAACGGTACTGACTGTACAACAAAAGCTTCAACCTTTGATAATTCAACCAAGCGATTGTCGTGGTCAAACAGATTTTCAAGTTCTCTAATCTTTTAAGGCATGAAATCCGGTTCCAATCAGTGACAGTGCAGCAGAAAGTCTCAATCTTTGAGAACCGATGAAGCGACTGTCGCGGTCAATGCTAAGTGAGAGGCAGAGATATGCAGAACTATTGCGGTTCTGTTCAAAAGGTTCATTGCTTGAACAGGGGATCCAAGTGCACGGAGCTGTAGTGGGAATGGGTTTTGGGTGTGATTTGATGTTAAACAATGACCTTATATCATTGTATGCAAAATGTGGCAGAGTGGACTTTGCCTGCTTGGTGTTTGATAGGATGCCTAAAAGAAACGTGGTTTCTTGGACAGCTCTTATGTGTGCTTACATACAAAATGGAAGTCCTGGAGAGTCCTTGTTTCTATTTTCCCGTATGGGATTCTCCGCTGTGAAACCAAATGATTTCACTTTTTCGACCAGTCTTAAAGCCTGTGGTTTGTTGAATGTTCCTGATACCGGGATGCAAATTCATGGTATCTGTGTCAAAACTGGATTCGATTTAGTGAACGTGGTGGCTAACTCGATCATGGACATGTATGGAAAATGCGGAAGAATCAAGGAAGCTGCTGGCTTTTTTGAAGTCATGCCTAGTAGAGATGTTGTGACTTGGAATGCCATGATAGCGGGATACACTCTTGCAGGACTTGGAGAGAAAGCTCTGTTTTTGTTTAAAAAGATGCAACAGGATGCCCAACTTCCTGACGAGTTCACGTTTACAAGCACATTGAAGGCTTGTAGTGATCTTGGTGCAATTACCAAAGGGACTCAAATTCATGCCTCCTTTATCATTAGTGGATACCCATATACAGTCAAGACAACTATTGCAGGTGCTCTTGTTGATCTATACGTGAAATGTGGGAAGTTGTCTCAAGCTCGACAAGTGTTTGGTCAGATTGTGGGGAAGAATGTGATATCATGGAGTGCTCTAATTCTTGGCTATGCTCAAGAAGGGAACTTAGAAGAGGCCATGAAATTATTCAGGCAGCTTAGAGAGAGCAACATACTAGTAGATGGGTATGTTCTGTCAAGCATGTTGGGGGTATTTGCTGATTTAGCACTTGTAGAGCAAGGCAAGCAAATGCATGCATACACCATCAAAGTCCCGTCTGGTTTAGGCATGTCCGTTTGCAATTCAATTGTGGATATGTATCTTAAGTGTGGATTGATAGATGAGGCAGAGAGATTTTTTGCTGAAATGCCTGCAAGAAACTCGATTTCCTGGACAGCTATGATCACAGGCTATGGAAAGCACGGGCGTGGGCAAGAAGCAATTCAGCTATTCAATAAAATGCAATTAGAAACGGTAGAGCCCGATGACGTGACTTACCTGGCTGTTCTATTAGCCTGCAGCCATTCTGGACTAGTTGAAGAAGGTCGAAAATATTTCTCAAGGCTGCGTAACGACCACCGGATTAAAGCTAGAGTGGAGCACTACGCATGCATGGTTGATCTCCTTGGTCGTTCTGGTCGCATAAAAGAAGCCAAGGATCTAATAGACAGCATGCCCTTGAAGCCCGATGTAGGGATATGGCAGACTTTGCTTAGTGCTTGCAGAGTCCATGGCGACTTGGAACTAGGGAAAGAAGTAGGTGACATTCTTTTTAGATTAGATAATGACAATCCAGCCAACTACGTGATGATGTCAAACATTTACGCAGATGCTGGACATTGGGAAGAGTGTGAGAGATTAAGAGAAATGGTGAAGACAAGGAGGTTGAAGAAAGACGCAGGGCGTAGTTGGGTTGAGATTGACAAGGAGATCCACTTTTTCTATGGCGGAGATGACCGACACCCACTTATTGAGGAGATACATAGGGTCTTGAAGGAAATGGAGAGGAAGATGAAAGAAGAGTTGGGTTACATTTCTGGGGTGAAATATGCACTGCGTGATGTTGAGGAGGAGTCAAAAATGGAGAACTTGAGAGTTCATAGTGAGAAGTTAGCAATAGGACTAGCATTGGTTTGTGGTGGCCTGGAAGGAAGGCAGAGGGTGATCCGTATTTTCAAGAACTTGAGAGTTTGTGGGGATTGTCACGAGTTCATAAAGGGTTTATCGAGGGTCTTGAGGGTGGTATTTGTTGTGAGAGATGCTAATAGATTCCACCGCTTTGAGGATGGGCTGTGTTCTTGCGGAGATTATTGGTGAAGCTTGGTAACTGAATTGACGACCTTTTTGTAGTACGGGTAGTACAGAATTAGGAGAAATGGTTTGCGCCTCTTCACCATATTGGAATAGAAGTAAGTCGAGAGTTCCCATAGTGACCTTCTCCTAAATACAATATTCCGTCCATGGGAATGGTGGTGACTGTGGCTCCGTGGTTATTCACTTATTCTTATTCGTTCCACATTGGATTCTGCTCTGTTTTGCATGCAGAATTGTGGGTTTACAATTGGCTTTTGAGCTCGGGTGTCGATGGTTGGAGGCTGAGGTTGATTCATTTGAGGTTTTTAATGGCTTGCACCAGCAGGTTGGTTGATTGTGCTTCAGCTTCCTTGGAGGTCAAACTTCGCTGTTTGTGCCGATTGGTTGGCCAAGCTAAGTTTTTCATTGCCTTAGAGAGGTCACTTTTTTGAGTTTTTTCCCGCAAGCTCCAGCTGCTTGTTTCAGTCTGGTCTTGCATTGGTGCAATCTCAATGTAGTTGCTCATTTCTTATTCAGTAATTAAATTACTCCACCGATACACAATTTAACTGAAACAAGCTTCAATTGGAATATGGCATCGTTGCTGTTTTAAATCCTTGTCCAAATCTTCTCAAGTCTACGCCTAGTCATCCGCAAGATTTCCGCTTTACCACAGTGCTCGCAAATCAACCCCCATCTTTGCTTCAAAATCTCAAGAGACTAGTAAGCGGGATTGTCCAATCTAATTACATTTTGCTAGAAAAAAACTACTTGACGCAGAAAGAAACATTTCCATTGAGTGAAAAACATTGTACACATTTCCAGTGATACACAAACTCAATCGTCTATTCTGACAGAACCAGTACAATTGACCACAACTCTAGTAGATTAAGTCGGGTTCTTGAAGAAGGGGTGATCAAGAGCTTCTCGGGCAGTTAGTCGTTTAGATGGTTCATACTCTAATAAACTGTACAACAAATCAATCAAAGAGGCACTTGAGCTGCCTGCATGCTGAGATATTATATCCTGCTAGATCATGAACAATTGTCAACCAAAAGTTAGATCCTCGCACTCGTTTAACAACTCTAATAACAAATAAAGAAACAGGTAGTTTCCAGAAAAACCAAAACAAGTGATTAACCTTTAGTCGATCAAGCTTCCTCACAGCTCTAATACTCTCTCTGGAATCTGCACCTTCAGGCCAATTCAGTCTTGATCCTTTCCTGAAATATTTTTCAGCTCCTCGGCTGCATATCATAAGAGCAGTAAAAAATAGCTTGCTCAGCAATCCATGCTGAACCAAGTATTTCTAAGAGGGGGAAAATTGCACACAATTTTGTCTAGATGCAAACATTGTAAGGCGCATCCAAAATGCTCGTACAGATTCAGAAAAGAAACTTACTCGGCCTTCTGAATCATGTGCTTCGGAAGAGGTCCCAATACCCTCTCCATCATTGCTAAGTGTTCTAAATTCTCATGAGTCTGGAATAGTGCTGAACCCTGACAAAATATTCAACCACTTCCTAAGAATCCGCCATAATAATTTCCAAGTTCAATCAAGGGGTATAAAACTCTAGACAAGGAGAACTAACCGAGCATAACTCAACAAGTATACAACCGACACTCCATAAATCACATGGATAGGTCCAGCCAAGGCCTGCAGCAACCGCATTAGAAGGTTAGCACATTAGATGCAAGTGTGCAACAGTACCCTATCATGGGATTAAAAAGCACAACGAAGCACAGAGAGGATCTTGAACTAGATCTCTTAAAGAAAAACAGAAGGCATCCTTTGCAGCCAGTAAAGGCAGAAAACTATGCAAATCATGATAAGCGCCAAGCGGAGACCACAGGCAGACCCACAACCCGCCTAAACTTAAGTTTTCCTAGGTTGCCAATATCCATATCTGCTTGATGTTAGTCCCCATTAAATGAAAGCCTCTCCAGACAAAAACTGACTTCGAGCTATAAAGAGTGTGTGGTGTTATGAAAGTGTAATACAGATGAACCAAGACCCTGGAAAGCTCCTGTTCCCCAAGAAATTTTGTATAAAGAGCAAAGCTAATCAGTGCACCAAGAATGAAATGGTACCGACTAATTGCATAGTTAAGATAAAACCAAAATCAACACATATCAAGATGATATTCACTCTAGCAGCAACTGATGAATCTTTTGAAGACAACTAAACCAACCTCAGAAAACATCCAAATCACCTTCCTTTAGGATTCTAAACATGTAAAATTTCTATTGAAAAATATGCATCCTCCTAGTCCTAAAGAACCACCAATTTATCAGAGAATACTAACAACCACCAAGTTATCAAGTATTTAGAATGATAACAGGATACATATATAGCCAAATGAAGTGAAAAGGTAAATTGTGCTTTTCCAACAAAAAACTAGTTACCTAGAATAACCTCAGGGGCTCTGTAATGTCTTGTAGAAACGATGGAGCTATGATTCTGATTATCAAATGTCGTACTACCAAAATCAATAAGCTTAATGGCACTTGACTTTGGCAAGCACCTGAAGTGCGTTTCATCTGAAGAACTCCTCTGTACCATTTGAATGATTCATTTAACATTACTATGGCAACTATACCCAAATCTTAGGTTACGTTATTTCTCAACCGTAAGAGGGCAAATACCTTGCATCCTGGAAGCTGTATATATTCAGGGGACACAAGAAGTATATTTTCTGGCTTCAAGTCGGTATGAATTAAGCGTAAATCATGCATATCTGTTAGATACGACGACGAATCATGAGAAGGAGAAACGGAACAAAAAGGAAAAATAAGAAATGCAAAGCTTCCCCTGGATAGACAACAGGACAAAAAAACAGATCTGGGTGATTGATTAGAGTATAAAAAGAAAGGTAAGAGCATGGAAGCCAAGAACAATTCACACACATGCTACAGATTCCAAAAGCTGGCGTCCAAATTCCCGAACAAGATCCACAGGGAATGGGCAGTATCTATTTCTCTTTAGAAAATCAAATAAACTTGGCCCAAGCTTCTCAAATACCTGGTAACATCATTAACATCCATTCAAAAGGAAGGATTCTATTTAGTTTCGTGACGGAAGGCTATGCGCAGAGAAGACAATGAAACTACAATCTAGTAAAAAAAAATGCAGCATGTATGTGCCATCTGGAAAGCAACCATGAATAATCAGAGCAACACATGATTTAGTATACAAAATAAACCCCAAGCACATAGATAGCAACAACGGATATTGAAGTCATCAATTTCCAGCAACCAATTTGACCATTCAAAGAGTAGTTGGCCACTGAATCCACAATGCATTTCCTAAAAAAAGGCAGCACAGAAATAAACCACGTTACAGCTAGATGAGAGGTTTTCATTGGAATACTCACAATACAGACATGATTGCGGTAATCAAACCAATTCCGAATCTGCACGCAGCTGCACAAAACACGACACGTAATTATCAGCACAGATGAATACACGAGCAGGTCGGCGAATTTTCGTATCAGCAAAAAAACCCAAGAATGAATTATGAATATACCGAGAGCTGGCATTTTCATTCTTGGCGATATGCTGAAGAATATCAACTTCCACCATAGCAGCTTCCCGATACTTGCGTATGCTTCGAACTACCTTGACGGCCACATACTCTCTGGTTTGACGGTCCCAACATTCCAAAACCCGCCCAAAAGTGCCTACAACCACTAGCAATTCGCTGAATTGCACAACCACACAATCACAAATAGTTTTACTAACATCTTGTGCTCGACAGCTAACCTTCACCCATCTTGCTCAGTATTTTATCTGCTCAAATAAGAAAACAACCGCAATCGTAAAGCTTCTCGCAATAAAGCACGAAATTCGAGGACAGAGGCCTAAATTGAACAAGAAAACCGTACATCTTGGAGTGAGATTCTCGCCGAGATTATAAACGTAATGGCCTTCGCGATCGTCGTCTCTTTTCGGGGGCGACGCATGCCTAGGAGGAACGCCACCGTTTCCAGCCACAACAGGATTCCGTTGCGCCTACAAACACATACATCCATCCAACAAGCAACCAAGTTTGAGACTTTCTGTGCGTGAGAGAGCTCTATCTCTCTTTTATCTATCTCAAAACCCTAGCTTAGCTTTTTTTTTTTTTTCTCTGTATAACCGAAGATCCGAAACCGGACCCACCGACCTCTGATTCAGATGGCCCCACGTCCCAAGCGAGCCGGGGCCGCTTCCTGATTCGCTCCTTCTCCATCTCCACGGCCACCATTCCAGCAAATAAACGTGTCTTCTGTCTCAGCCTTGGTTGTGCTGCTATCTATAAAGGCTCAAGTTTTGTTGGTGGCGCTGCTTATCTATCTGCAAGACAAAATCTAAGAGGAATGTGAAGAAATCCAAGGCTTTCGCAACTTAGCGAGAGGAGATTTGAATTGGATTTTTGTTGTGCTTTTTGAGGAGGAACAGAACAGAACAGAACACAGAGTGAGAATTTTGTTGGGGAGGGAAAAGGGAGTTAGGGTTCGTTAAATAGAGGACGTATTTGCGCGGAATTAATGTTCGGTGTTTCGCGGTGTCTCGGTGTATCGTGTTCCCTTGGCGTATCTTACGGTTGGGGAAATCGGTGATTGATCATATGGGCCTGGGCGAAATCCGGGAGGAAAGGCTTCGTGGACTCGGTTGTTTTGGGCCCTAACGGCTGGCCGAAATCGGGTGGTAATCCATATGTCAATCAATGATTGATGCTTTATTATGGGCCTGCGAGAATCCTGTTGGCACAAGGCTTCATGGACTCGGATGTTTTGGGTCCTACCACTTTTAAGTGCTTGCTTGTCACTAATTTATATTTTTTATCAAATAGCAAAACAATTACTTTTGAAATAAAAAATAATCAAGTATTAAATTTTTAAAAAATTAATATAACCAATGTATGCATAAATAAAATTTGAGTAAAGAGTAAAATCAATGGGTGGTCTGGTAAGTGACTTGATTTCGCTTAAGCAAGGTCTGCAGAAAATTCTAATTATGAAATTCACCCACCACACTCAGGTGCACGACTCGTATTGAACCGGAATTAGTCGGGATAAAACCCTAAATTCCGGATGGGAAATAAAGAAAATAATAGCAAAACAAATATCTAGACCAAAATTCCAAGCATTAACTATCCTTTTTCAAAAAAGGGAGCATAACATAATAACACCACCATTTCGTCAGAATGGCAGCATAAATAAGATACCAGGATTCCCCCGTCAAACCAAGGGACCCCGGCCCGCCAATGCCCACAGAATTTTGTTAAAACAAAAATAAAAGATAAAATATCAGAACCTCCGGAAAAAGCGTGGCAACCACGCGACCACCACAAGGCTTTCCTTTGACAACCCCACCACTCCACACGCACCCTTATATTAACCAACCGCCGTCTCCCGCATCAGCAACAACAACAACAAACAACAAACAAACACTCGAAAAAAGAAATGCAGTCACTACAGGAGAAGGCCTCCCAGTGGAGCGGAGTCCAAACAGCCGACGCCTTTGCCATCGACGACACCAATCTTTTCCAAAAACTCGGCCTCCCCACTTTCATCAACCTCTCCACCAATTTCTACACCAGGTAGTTATTTCTTTCACTGAATGAAACGGTGTCATTTCGGTTCCTTCCTCCTCCAATTTGTGTTAATAAATAAATACATAGTAGTTTTCAGGCACTGACGAGGAGGATTGTTGTGTTGTTTCAGGGTGTACGATGACGAAGAGGAGTGGTTCCGTTCCATATTTGCCAACTCCAAGAAAGAGGAGGCCATCCAAAACCAATACGAGTTCTTCGTCCAGAGGATGGGTGGCCCTCCTCTCTACTCTCAGCGGAAAGGTAATTAAACCGATCTGTTTTCATTTTTCATGCTGGTAGTAGTACTAAAGTCGAGCTTTGGATTGGAAATTGAAGATTGGTTTTGCCTGTGTTTTAAAATAATGAGATTGGGATTAAGCAGATGAGAGGAAATAGTTTCACTCGTTTTTTTTTTTAAATCCTTCCTTCAAACAAGAAATGATTGGAATGCTAAATTGTCAGGCTTTTTATTTGAACAGTATTTGTGGATGGACGGACACTAATGCAGATTTTGTTTGATTGATTTAATTGCAGGGCATCCTGCGTTAATTGGACGGCACAGGCCGTTTCCGGTTACCCATCAGGCGGCAGAGAGGTGGTTACTCCATATGAAGGAGGCGTTGGACACCACCCCGGATATCGATGACGACTCAAGAATCAAAATGATGAATTTTTTCAGGCAAGAAGCAGATGATGTTAAGATCTCAATTGTCAATAGAGAAGAGGATTTTGGATCTTTGTCTGATTGAAAAATCTGTTCTCATTAATGCACCCGCGGTTTACTTATGTTTGTTGTTTCTTTTGTGTCTTTTTTTTTTTTTTTTGGTTCTTTTCCAGGCATACTGCGTTTTTTCTTGTGGCTGGGGATGAGTTGAAGAATCAAAACCAACGACATGGTGCGCAGTGAGCCAGTTTAGTACGTAGTATTAACAAAATTGCGACGCAATTGCAATATTGGGGTATACTGATTTGATTTTTTCACACATAGAAAACCAGTCTAGAGTAGTGGAACTTTGTAACTTTCCTGTAACCTTTTTAGCAATAAAGCTCCTCTTTTTCTATTTGTGTCCACATGCATATATGCAATGCTCTGAATGAGATCATTTCGTCTTGTCTCCTCGCTGCAAGTATTATTATCTTCAGTTGATGCAATTACTCGAGTAGAAATGGTGGCAGCATGGGAATTAGTGAAATGAGTGGGATCAACATAAACAAGTCGACGACAATGTTTCTTAAGTGATGCGATGGTGATTGAAACTGAAAATCTTTGTGAGCTTTGAACCAATGTGGGTGGAAAGAGATGCTATCATGATCGCTGTTCAATTTTACAATTGTGTGGTTCACTGAGTTGCTGATCTGGGGCCGGGGAGATAGTCTCATTGGACTATAACATGCTGGCCAGGACCCAGAAGGTCTAAATGGGCTCCAACATTACCGGTAAAGATAGCAAAGACATTTGTTTGGTCGGAAGTAGAGATTACAAGGCACGAAACCACACAAGTGAGTACATATAATATGCTGCTGCGTGATTTCTGACAGGGCAATATATGACTGGCTAGTCAGTGACGACTGATGACTGACGAGTTGGGATCTAGTGTTATAATAACCCAACTTAACGGGAGAAGTCAGGCCTTATCTATTCTCAAACTCTCGAGTCTCAACCATGTGCCCGCATTGTGAGACTAATCATTCAGTATTCTTGAGCTCTGTGTTCATATGTTGATGTTGGGCTAGCCTAGATTCCTCCAATACTAACATTGATCCGTTTCTTTCTTGATCCGATCTTTGGGGGGAAAAAAATGCTGAGAACTATTCGTGTCAGAACCAAACCATATGCATCTGATCATGATGAAACGTTGTTGTAGAAACCCTGCACAGTGCATGGAGGATATCCGTTATTAAGTAGCCATTGCTTTTTTGTTGGTTGAGAATCATCAAGCGATCACTCATGATTAGCCTAAAAGTAGCAAATTTGTCAAGTTATTATTTCTTCATTTTTTTTTTTTTGAGAATTAATCGCATTTCCATTGCAAATCAAGGTTAGGACAAGCCTAACAATAATACAACTCACATATGAGGGAAATACAACTCATGAAAGATGAGGACCTGAGCAAAGGAAATTAAGGAGAGAAAAGAAGGATTGATTATGTGGTCATGAATGAAAAAGAAAGTTCCAATCCCATCCTATGTATCATCTCTCCTCAAAATGTTTAGAACGGTTTGCTGTTAACTTTTACATTGTTTTTCTTTATTAATAAAAATGTAAGTAGTGCGAGCATCTGAATTAATGGCGTCCTACTCCCATCACTTCCAATGTTTATTACAGTTTCCCGTTAACTTTACATTGCTTTTTTTTTTTTTAAGAAAATAATCGAATCCATGTTCTTCGCAGCAGGTGATGTTCTGGATTAGTGTGGATTTGGATTCTCATGTTGCTATTATTAATTAATGTCTCTGAAATATATTCATAAGTTTCAATACCTCATATGCATCTCGAACTTTTATCTTCTCGGCTACAATAGAAATGAAGGCTGCAAGTTTTTTAATAAAATATAGAGGCAGGGCAATATAGAAGCACAAAAAATGATGCTGCAAGATTCTGTTTGCTTTCATCCTGTTGCCTTCCACCACATGATAGTGAATAGTGAAAGTTCGATGGTGGACACACATATAACGCGCATCTCGATCTAAGTTTCCATTTCTTTACTCTCTTGAAAAACAGAATATACTGACTACTTTTGACCAAAGTAGGAAGAACTAGGAGTGCAACATTTGTCTTGTAAACGGCCATGTATTGAGATCACAACCCATTGGCTAACCAGGAGAAAGTAGAGAACCAAAAAAAGAACAAGAATTGGTCCCGAAACAAGTATACGCATAAAATAAAGCTATCCTGATCCGTTCATCACTGACTGAATAAACTTGGTTTTTTTCTTTTTTTGGAGAAGTAATAAACTTGGTTTTAAAACCTAAAGAAATTCCCAAGATTTATCTGGGGAATACCGTTCCCTGTATGTATGCCAACGTTTTTCTCTGACTAATATAGTCGATAAATCATTAATTAGTTAGGTCCATATGGCCAGCACCAACTATTCTTACATGCCATGTGTTACATTATTTACGCCAATAATCATTATCCAACTAATCGCACTGTGCCTTTGAATTATTCTCCTGCATCTAATCTACTGTAATCGTTGACTGAAATACGAAAACCATTTCCCAGCTGTAAGATTTCCTAAAACATTCGCGGATTATGAACCATATCCCTAAAGCCATCTATAACAAAGAACCAAATAAAGAAAAATACAGAAGAAGCGTATAGGAAGATGGAGTTTGCAATTTGCATACAGGAAGACAAAGGATAAGCAAAGAAAAGTATGTCACTAACATATGAACAATAAGGTTGTATTAGTTTCTGACATCTAAATGAAAGAAGAAAACATAAATAAGATGCACACACTGCATTAGTTAAGCTCCCCTGATGTGTGTCTCCCATTGTTTTCTCTGCAAAAGTCTTGAAGGATCAGCATATCTAGCAGAGAAAGAACGAGGAAGATTGTCTGGCTCCTGCCAACCTGTTCCTGGATCAAAGTTCTGCGAGTACTCTTCTGGGTCATATGAAGCTTGCGATGTAATAGCTGCAGGAGCGTTAACGTTGAATATTTTCTTCTGCCCTCTGCTTATTTTTCTCCAAAACATATGCCACTTTGATTTTCCTCTATCTTCCCTCACAGTTTGGTTCCTTCCTAAGTAGATGGGTTCCCTCACTGAGTTGCTCCACTTTAGGACACCCATCGCTATGCAAAGATGAATGAGCAAAAGAACGTTGTTTTCGGAGTTATATAATCCTAAGCAACACGCGACCTTAATGATGTAGATCACAGATAAGTACTCAATTAATAAATAAGAAAAACCATCGTTTTATGCACACAGTACGGGGCTGGCTTGGGTATCATTAGCCAAATGGCTCTAAGACTACTTTAGCCGGCTCGAACCCAAATAGCTATTAACCAAAAAGAAAAGTAATGAAATATGGAATGGAAATGATTCCGAGGGTTCTTTTCTTTTTCGGGATTCAATCATATGTAACTAGATATGTTCTTATCGGAGCCGCAATGATAATTATGGAAATATATACAAATAATGGCAATTGATAATAACTCCATGATTATTTCCTAGATATTATACTCTATCTATACATCAATTTTCAAAGGTTGTTAAACTTAGACCAAAGGTTGATCCGATCGGGCCATCGAGTCACATTTTTGTAGTTAAATAGTAGTCAAATTCCAGTTTAACAAAAAAATTACAAGGTATATTTTGACTTTTTTTTTTGATAGAAAGAGCCATCATCTTCATTAAGATAAACAGATCTACAGATCTGAATGGTACAAATCAAGATCTAGAAAGTAAAAGTATAAAAAAAAACTTACAACAAGAATTTTGAACAACAAATCTTTATCCTTAAAAAAGGATTAGCAATAGCACAACAATTCCAAATGGAGCATAGTTTCAGATCTAGCCCGTGCTGCAAATACCACACATCAAAGTGGAAATTTTGTTGTTCTTGAGCTTCCATAAGAGAGAGAAAAAATTCTTCCTGAAAAGATTTTTCAACAGGACTCTTGACTTTCTTTGGCTTCAACAGGACAGTCTCTCTATCTTATCCTGAAGGAATTCACCTCCAGATTCATTTTAACACTATGGGAATGGTTCAATAAAATGCAAGATTCATCAAAGGCACATTTCCACACTGCCAAGGATACAGATGAAGTCATTTCATACTTCTACTACTCATTCCTTGGAGATGCAACACAACTCAAGAATCGCCAAGAATCCGAATTCTACCAGATGAAGTGTTGTTCCATGAAGAGGAAGGATCTTGATTTCCATTACCAAAGGATGCTGAAGTACTATTGGAGATTGGTAACGGATGACAAGTCCGTAAATACGTTGAACCAGACGTATCTTACTTCATTGCCAGATGAGCTCCAACCTTCAGTTCGCAGAGCAATCACTACACAAAGAATTGATGTTGCTCAAACAACGATTGGAGTGCTTCATCAGTTGGTACTTGAGTCCGTTAAAACACTATGTGAAAATCAGGAATACTTTTCTAAGTTCCTGACCATGAAGGTACCGTGCAAAAATCCCAGTCTGAAGATAAAATGCAAAGATACACAATGCTCCTGCAAGAAGCAATCTTATCGATTTCCCAAACGGCAGTCCAAAGGAAAGTTCAGAAAATGGAAACCTTTTCAGAAAACTAAAAGCCGCCATAGGTTTTTCAAGAAGAAGTCTCGGAAAGGGAAAAATACTGATCGTTGTTACATCTGTGGAAAGAAAGGACATTTTGCAAAGAATTGTCCAGTCAAGCCAGCCAAGTCAGCAAAAATGATTCAGCAGATTGATCTCAACGACTCTGATGGAGATATTGAATCTCTTTATTCTGAGCAAGAAGAAATGAATCATGAAACCATCTTCGCACTCGCTGTCACGGATGATGAAGTTTCAGGCTCAGATTCCTCTTCCTCTGAAGAAGATATTCCAATCTTTATGGCCCAACCTTCTCAGCCCGCTCTGACCAGCCCACATGTCAATTTGTCCATTTTACCAGATAAGTATGAGAAGCCCATCTCAGCTATTGGTTTTATGGATACAGGAGCCCAAAAGAGTATCATGAATCCAGAAATTCTACCAGCTCATTATTGGGTTAAGCATGAGCAACATTTTCGGGCTGCAAATGGAAAGGTCTTTACAACCCATCTGATCACAAAGCGAAACATAGGTATCCAGTTCTTCCCTGGATGTGTTGTCTGGGTAAAAGTCCTTGGATCTCATCTTCCAGATCGTGATATAGTGGTTGGTTTTGATATCTATCAAAAGGCCAAGTCTCTTCAAATTTTGCCAAATGGTCTCAAGTACAAAAGGTTTTTTAAGCCTTACACAGACATTATCAAGATCTATTCATTGGCCCAAGTTCCAGTATCTTTTGAAGCGGTCCGTGATTCACTTCTCAAGTCTTGTGCAGACTCTCATGCAGATTTCCATCATCCTTTTCCTCTGTGGAAAAACAAGGAGTTTTTCATCTCCTTGCCATTCAAGAAGAATGAAGACGTTAATCCAACAAAGGCCAGTCATCCTGGTATGACTCCTTCTGATTTGGCACTTGCAAGGGAAGAATGCAATCAACTACTCTCTTTAAAGCTGATTGAGCCCACAAAATCTGAATGGGCATGCCAAGCATTCTACGTGGAAAAGCGTACTGAAAAGTTACGTGGGAAGAAAAGGCTTGTTATTGATTATAAGCCGCTTAATCATTTCTTACGAGATGATAAGTTTCCCATTCCGAAGATTGAAAATTTGTTTGTCCATCTCAAAGAAGCCTTCATCTTCTCCAAGTTTGATCTCAAAGCAGGTTTTTGGCAGCTTGGTATCCATACAGAAGATCGTCCCAAAACAGCTTTCTGTATTCCAGATGCTCAGTATCAATGGACAGTCATGCCATTCGGTTTGAAAGTGGCCCCATCTCTTTTTCAAAAAGCAATGACAAGAATATTTGCACCGATACTCCACAGCACTTTGGTGTATATTGATGACATCCTTCTCTTTTCAAAAGATGAAGAGTCCCACCGAGCATTATTGGAAGACTTTCAGGCTATTGTCCAAAAATATGGCATCATGCTGTCAGAAAAGAAGAGCTTTATTGGCCAACCTCAAGTAGATTTTCTTGGCATGAGAATCTCATCCGGCCACTACAGTCCAGGACCACATATTGCACAAGAATTGCTCACTTTTCCAGATGAACACCTGTCCCCAAAAGAAGTCCAACAGTTCCTAGGCATTGTCAATTATCTTCGCAACTTTATCCCAAAGGTTGCTACCTACACTTCAGCCTTATCAAAAATGCTGAAAAAGACACCTCCACCATGGAGTCAAGAACAGACAACAGCTGTCAAGGAGTTGAAACGAATAGCCCAGAATCCTCCACCCTTGAAGATTCCCTCTGTGGGCCTACGCATCCTTCAGACTGATGCTAGTGATCATTATTGGGGTGCTGTTCTCCTTGAAGAAATTGACAACATGAAGCATCTTTGTGGGCATGCTAGTGGACAATTCAAAGACTCCGAAAAGCATTACCACACCATTTACAAGGAGATTTTGGCAGTAAAAAATGGGATCAAGAAATTTGAATTCCATTTGATTGGACACCATTTCAAGGTACAGATGGATAATTCCTCCTTTCCAAAGATTTTAGATTTCAAAAACAAGTCCCTCCCGGAGAAACAATTATTGCGATGGAAGGACTGGTTTGCAAAATATGACTTCCAAGTGGAGCATATAAAAGGTCAACATAATGTTCTTGCTGATCTACTCTCCAGACCAAAGACAATCTCCATCATCCAACCTTCTCAGGTTCCTCAAGTCATTCCGTTCATTTACATGGCTACCCCTGTTCAAAACACATCTCCTTTTGCAAATGAGGTTCAGAACATCATGAATCTCTCAGCCACTGAACCTGTCATACCACCCATCCTTCGAAGACCTAATACCATACATAGTATCCAGACTTATGCTAGGAATCACCTTTTTCACTTTAAATCTCTGGTTCATGAAGCACTTGGTGACATTCCTCCAGTCCTAGGTCTTTCCCGTTACCTGGTTGATACCCCTTATCATGACATCCCAAGCTTAGGTACCACACCATGGCCCATATCTTTATATTATTACCTCTGGTGTCTCACTACTCTGTATTATACTCTTATCCATATTCCTGTATATCCGGTACTACGACACCTCATGAATAGGAATGCTCACACCTCCAAGTGTTGGTACTTCCTCCAAACTTTTGCTCCTCTCTCCTGGTGGCGAAGAGAACTGGCTCGAATTCAAGCCACTCACCCATCTGCACAAAGGGAGACCATTGCTGCTTATGTGGTAGTTCATCGACCATATGTTCAGCATAACTCCTCCATTGCCCCGCGACCAGTTGTTCACATATGGAAAACCATTGAAGGTACTATTGCTGATGTACCCCGCCTAGCCAATGAGGCTAGAAACTTTCTCTGCAGTCTCAATGGTTTCACAATCCCTGGGAACACCAATATTACCTCAACCTCTTTGGTTTCCACCCCTGCTAGACCTGTTGCAGGCCACACAACTGATATTCCTCCAACAGTTCCCATTGAACTTCAAAATTGGGCACAATGGCTTTGTCATCAGCCTTCTGCCTCATCATCTCCTTCTACTGTTTCGAGGTCCACACAAACTGATGAGGATCCCATCACAAACTTTGACTCAGCATTTTACACGCCATCCCGAGGGCCTGACTCGGACAGTGACCATGATTGCGACATGACGGACATGTATCATGATTGCAATTCGGAGGAGCCAATCAGGAAATAAAGTATTAAAGTGTGCTGTATTATTAGAGTGTATTATTAGAGTGTAATGAGTGTGCTGTAATAAGTGGGATGATGAGTCATCACCCACCTTCGTTTGTCTTTTATGATGTATTATTAAAGTGTGTTGTAAATGGAATGATGAGTCATCATCATCCATTTTTGTCTTTTTCTAAATGCTCCTGCCTATATAAAGGGGGCCTTGTAAACATGAAAGGGCAGATCAGAACTCCCATTATCAATAAAAACCTGTGTGTTTTATACATCATGTCTCTCTAAATCTCTCTCTTCTCTGAAATTCTCTAGGACAATAGTACTATTACTCTCTTCTTCTTCTATCCTGATGCTACGGTCTCCATCTTTATGAAATCGCAAAAGGGGTTTGAGTTCCGATTGCCACCAAGAGTGGATCCTTCTTTACTCACCATGAGCGGTTCATAGAGTTTGGAGCTCCCAGCGCCTCTAGTTGATACCCCTTATCATGACATCCCAAGCTTAGGTACCACACCATGGCCCATATCTTTATATTAGAGTTCCGATTGCCACCAAGAGTGGATCCTTCTTTACTCACCATGAGCGGTTCATAGAGTTTGGAGCTCCCGGCGCCTCTTGGTAGCGGAGCCCTACGGATACTAGAGAATGGATATTTGGTATATAGGCTGGAAACTCATACCTTGTCGATCCCCACCTGGTTGGGTAGGCAGAGCTTGTGCACAACGCCACGTACCAAATATCTATTACCTTATTCGGTAGTCTCTTTTGAACTCGGGGATAGTACCAGAGTTTAAAGAGGGAGTAAGAAATACTATTGTTCCTTAAGAAGAGTAAGAGAAGAACCTTAACAACTATGAGTGACACCCAGGAGACCCTTAATCCCATACCACAAACACTTACCTCCTTCTCACCTATTTCTCTTCCTGAATCAGTTAGACGAACCCATTCTCACAAAATAGATCACTTAGTGGAAATTACCCATGTTCCAGAAGAAGTCAAGATTGAGGATTCAACTCTTCCTTTGGTTAATCCTTATACAGTCTTTAAAAAAGGCTCCATCTCTCGAGCTATCAAAACTTTGATCTCTTCTCGACGTCCTGTTGTCAAAGAATACATCCAGTCCTCCAAGATGAATCACTGTGTCTTGAAGGCAACCCCTGCTGAGCAATATGTGACTTTAGAAATCCCTTCCTCCTTTATCTCTCAATGGATAAAACAGGGATATTCTCATCTCCACCTTGGAGCGATCAGACTTGTTCTCTCCTATCATGGACGACAAGGTCTACCAGTTACGGCGAGGCTTTCGTTGTTGGATACTCGATACCTGAATTATGAGCATGCTGTGATCGGAACAGTATTGACTACTTTGAATTCCGGAAGTATTGTGCTCACTTTCTTCCCGAATTTCAATATGTCTTTACTGGATGAAAACCTACCAAGAGCCATGAAGATTCAGCTACAACTATTTGGTGCTGAACAGACTTCTTCCTCCATAGCTGCAACCCTGCATCATCAGATAGTATATCGTCTGCAAGACCATGCTATCAATCTCAGTTTTCCTGGAGTTTCGACAGATCCTTTGTTTATCTATGCTGATACTGACTCTGTCCCTACTATTGTCCAACCACTACGGCAGCTTCCTCGAGAAGAATTGGAAAAGCTAATCCCACGGGAATGGCTAACTAATTATGAAAAGCTACAACGAAATGAACAACCGGTGCAATTTCTTGAGCCTTCTTTTCAGAAGCAGATAGATGGAACTGTGAAGATGACATATGGAAAATCTGAGTCGTCTTCTTCCTCCTCCTCTTTCTATCATTCCTGTATGATAGTCCCAGTTCCAACACCTAAAGAAAAGAAGATTCCAGTGGCATATTTCCACCCTGATGGATCACACGTCTATGCATCCCATGTCAATGGTCATTTTGTCTGGGATATAGATCCGACCATGTGTGAACCAGGTTGCAATTGTGGTGAGTTATCTGAAGAAGATTTGGAAGCAGTTCCCCTCGTTCCTCCGAAGCCTAAGAGAAGATATTCTACTTCTTGTCGACAACTGAGGCACAAACGACCTGGACCAGATGATCCTGATGCTCCTTGGATCGGTCCTTGTCAGCTAAGTCCTCCACCACCTCTCCCAGTCTATGCAAAAGCATTAAACTTGTTGGCCAAAGAAGGTTATTCTTCTTGTTCACTTGAGGCAAAACCAAAAAAGGAACCCTCACTTCCACTTCAGACTTGCATGATGTTTTCTGAAGCAGAATTTCCTCCCCTCACTCCATCCACAGATCCATCCACCAAAATTTCAGCCAGACCTTTTGTGATTCCCCCACAGACAGTCCAACCTGATGGACACCGACCTTCTCTTTCTCAGGTCGAACAAGTCCTTAATTGGCAATCTCAAGCCTCTAAGGCTCATCATCATCAATCCAAAGAAATCTCTGAGAAACTCTCTCAAGTGGTTCAGATCACGTCTCGCACAGAGCAAAAAGTTGATGCCATTGTAGCCGATCTGTTAGCTACAGAAAAACGGCTCAATTTAAAGATTCTAACCCTTGAAGCAGAACTCAAAGAAATCAATCGCACCAGAAGATTGATTCATGATCCGGAACGAAGTAGTAAGGATGCTGAATTAAAACGACTTCGTAAGGATCTGGATGATTTTGTTAAGATTCGCCAACGAGAAGTTGAGCGAGCTCAACAGCGAGAGATTGAACGACAAAAAAGAAAGCAGTCGTCACAGCCATCACCTATTCAATCCGCACCTTCACCCTTGTTTACACCTCCACAATATCGATCTCAACCGACACCTTCCCAATTCCCTTTCTTTGATCCATTACAACCTCAACAACCACATGTACCCCCTTTTCCTCCTCTAGTTTTTGGAACAGTTCCTCCATCTCACACTGCAACTTTCGGAGTTAAAACCTCATCAAGGCTTCATTCCTCCTCTGAAAGTTCTGAGGAACACAGTTCAGAAACCATTTCTTCCAAACAAGCAGGAAAACGGCATATGTCCCAGTATGCTATTTCTTCCACAATATCACCCATACCAGAACCCAAGTCAGAACAGGAAACTCAATCCTCTGAAGATTCAGAAGAAGTCTCTGAAGTTTGGTCCTCTGAAGATGAACAGGCTGATATTACTCAACTCTGTATGGCTACGGCAACATCATCCACTCAACCTCATGTTGAGGAAGTCCCCGATGATCCCCCGGGATATGGCCAAGCTCAAGATACGGCCCAGTCTACTCAAGGCCATACTCAGACTTCTACGGATACTCCAATGGCTGATTCATTTGATCCACCTCCTAAGCCAGCGGCGGGACCCTGGTTTACTATTGATGACATTCCACCATCAAAATGGCAATCCCGATTTACTGAATTTCGGGCATGGATTGAAAACCAACGAACAGTCACAGGACAGTCTCTCTATCTTATCCTGAAGGAATTCACCTCCAGATTCATTGGAACACTATGGGAATGGTTCAATAAAATGCAAGATTCATCAAAGGCACATTTCCACACTGCCAAGGATACAGATGACAACCAAGTGGATAGATCTGGTGAACTTATTAAAACTGAGAAAGAAAGCAAAGAAAAAAATGGAAATTGGAAGGGAAGGAGGCTGCCCGAAGGCAGCCTCTTGGGGGCTTCTTCAATCTACTCCTAGAGAGAGATGAGAGAAAAAAACTTTTAGAGAGAGAGACAAATAGTATATTATATTTTGACTTAGAAAACCTACAAGTCAGGATTATCTGGATTCAACCGGCCGGGCTGGTCCGGATTAAACAACCTTCGCGGGGAGTACAAAAACTAGTTGGACATGTGGTCGGCTACTGAGTACAGTTCAGCCATGGTAGGCGTAGCTAGGAAGGTAGTAGAAAGGGAACCCCACTCTTTAAGTAGGCTGCTACTAATTTAAAACGTCAAAGAATGACCGCCGAAAGGGTCTATATTTGCTAGCGGCATGCCATCATCTTCTTTCCTCTCGTGCTTTGAACAATCTACTCGGTATATTTATAAAAAATACTACCGTCTCTTTCTTGTGGTTGTATAAAATGATGCCGTGGTTGGTGTAATGTTAAGTTGTTAACCCCTTCTTTTTTCTCTAGTATTTTATTTTATTTTTTTAGTAGATAAAAATAACAAAGTCGTTATGGATATAGCCCTACGAATTATCGAGAGATCTTTGAATAAATTTTCTCCTCGGGACTACAAGTGGAGTTACGTGACTCGCGAATTTTGTAATCTCAGTTCACATAGCTTTTTTTGCACTGAAATAGCGTGGTTTATAGGAAGCTGAATTTTCCTTGGTTGGGCTTATTAGTTGCAAGTTCATAGAGGCCCGCTTTTCTACTAAGGGGACCGGGGTCTTAAAGTGTGTATGCTATAGGAAACGGAATTGTTAGATATGGACCTGTTCAAAATGCCAACACACTTTCGTTCTTATCACCCCCTATATAGCCCTTTTAGGCTGACCAGTTGCATCCATGGTCCAATGAGATTTATCATCTTAAACAAGTATCTTTTATTTTTTTTTTTCCTCATTATCGTTTACAACTCGTACAGTATCTTAGTTGGGGATAAACTGGATTGAAACTCCCTAGTAAGTTATAGTTTGTAAGGAGTAAGCAGATAAAACTTGCAAGAAAAAGCTTGAATCTTTAGCTTCTATGGATGCCCTTATCCTGAATCTTTCTTTTCCCCAAACCAAAGGGATATTCCAGTATGCAAAAGAACAGAAGCAGAAAGGGTAACCCGTTAAGGGTCGACAAAGCAAGCTACGTAATTCACCAATGATGTTCCCATACGCCTTATACCATATGAGCATTATGCATCAGCGGACACACTCTGAGGTTTTAGTTTAATACCAAAATTTGACACCAGAGGAAAAAGAAAGGATAATAATTACTTGGGCAAAGCATCATCGTCTTCTACAAAAACGTCCATTTTTGCAGGGAGCTTAAATAGTTCCATGCAGAACTAAACAGAGCTAAATTACTATGCAGGGCCATGTTTCGATTTCTGTGACTTGGTGATGTACCTCAGCTTCTCATAAGCATCAGCACATGCATGAGCATAATCTGACATAGCACGAAACAGCTCAGGCAAGCGGATCTTGAGAGTTCCTAGAGACTTCTCTCTCACCTGAAGGCAATGCCTTTTGTGAGCTTCAACTTCCTCTTCCAATCTCTTCTTCAAGCTCTCTACCACGAATTGCCGCTCTGAGACAGCGTTATCTTCACCTCTTTCACCATCCGTTTCATCAGTAGGAGTCCTCCTTTGCATGTACTTTTGGTACCATTCCTCAAAAGCCTGGTTCTTGCGCAAGAACTCTTTCCTTGTCTCTTCACACTTTTCTTTAACCTTCATCTCTTCTTCCTGATGCAGTTCTATGGTTTTTATCACTGCTGCAAAAGATGAAATGGCAGATTTGGCAAGCTCATCTGGGAGCTTTTCTAGAAGATCGTTCCATGAACCAAGAAGGGCTTGGATAGGGGGATGCTGAGCTCTAGGAGGGGATGAGATTTTTTCTTTTAAGCTGCTTTCTATTGGGATGAGATTTAACTTTAACCAGCTATTGAGAGCACGGATATAATGTTTTTGATTGACCACAAGCTTTTCAAACTGCGTATGCCATTCTTGGACGACATTCCACAGTTGGATGGTGCGCTCGTGGTGGTGCTTGGTTGTTTCCTTGACAGCATGGCTGATATCAAGTGATTTCAGGTCTGTAACAATCTTCAATTGTTTGTCATGATGTATGCACATGCTTGCCCACATATCGGCCATTCTGCAGTATATATGAATGAAACATTAACGGAAAAAATCAGATATTTCCCTATAAGTTGCACAAATTACATTCAGATACATAATTTCCAATAATGTACTAAGTATAGATTGTTTTTTGCTCCACAGAACACTTCTTTCAAGGTAATAAATGGGAAAAGAGTCCTCGTTATGCAGAACTTGCAAGCTTGGTATCTCGTTTATATGGCTTTTGAACCAAAATGACAAATGTAACTTGCTGAATAGATCAATGATATCATGTGGACTCTCAATACAAATTTATGAACAGAAAAGAACCAATGTGAAGAAAACATTACTTGTTGAGCATAAAATGTGCTTTGGGAGGAAAATAGAACAGAAAACATGAAATTATGGCCTCTGAATCACTTCATTAAGCTAAAACTTACCCGTTAGCAAGCTCAACAAGTTTCGGAAACAATTGTTCATCACGTATCTGGTTCACTTCTGATACAGTCGAGTCCATTGATTGCATGTCAACAATATATCTTGTATGCAAGTGGCTCACTGCAGCCTTTGTTTTCTCCAAAGATTCAGCACTAGCACCACGTTTCTTTTGTTTATTTAACAAAGCGACCTTCTTCTTATACTCAAGCTTCATAAGTTCACCTTGCTATTCAACACAAAACAATCTTTCAGAAGTTTGCAAAAATTAGATGATACTACTTACTAAAACTTTCTTATCCATGTGAAATTTAAATAACACGGATATGCCTGCCAAAAGAGACATCTTCACTCGGCACTATTGTAATAGTCATCCACAAATCAACTTAGATAACCTAACTCTAAATCCACTACACAAAAAGTTGCTTGAGACTCTGGAAGAACGGAAGTATCACATCCTGCGCTTCCTTACCCAGGTAGGAATTGTATGACTAATAAATGACAACAAAATCTTAACTTAAGATATATGAAACTAGTGAATGCAATGTATACCTTCACTTCATCATAAAGTTTCTTTTCCCAGGCTAACAACTTATCCAAAACAGTGGCATGGGTTTCAAGATCTTCAGAATCAAATTCATCCTTGCCATTCTCGCTGCCTGGTACACCTTTAAAGGACCTGTTCCATGTGATAACACGCATAACCCTAGCAGAATGATCAATATGGCCTGCAAGCATTAAGAGCATAAAAGAATAATCAACGATATTAGAATCCAAACAGTTGGTACAATAAACTAAACTGAAATAACAAGAAAAAATCTGCGCAGAATATTCACATAATTCCCACTCCTAAAAGTAGAGTAACCATTCTCCATTTGACAAAGTAGATAGGGAATTTAGACTAGCTTTTGAAAAGAGGAAAGTTAGACGAGCAATAACAGATCTGAGGCTCTGAGAAAAGGATCAGATAACGTGTCACTTATACAAAAGGTAAGCACACCCAGACGAACATATGAGAAAGGTGCAAATGCTTGGAACTTCATTTGCTCGCCACAAAAAGCTTAAATTTATATCCTAGAGGTCTTCAGGAGACAAGAGCCGCCAGAACAGTTAAACCCCCAAGAAGCAAAGGCAAGTGTGCAACAAGTAGTTGATTTTATTAAAAAAAAAACACAATCACCACCGGTTTTTCCTAAAGGAGTCAACTTTAAAAACCAAACAAAAAGAAAATTAAGTAAGAAATAACACAAAAGCACAAGGCAACCAAAAAATACTAAGACAAGTGTAAGAAGAACGCAATACCCCGATTATCAGCAAAATTAGAATGATAATGCAAGCGAGTGGCCTCTAACATTTTGCAGACCTCCTGCGCACTCTCTGATGCCTTGAGGAAATGATCATCAATCTCGTTCAACACCAACATCAGATTCACACTCGCAACTTTCCCTGCAATCGCCCCGAAATCAGGCGGTGCCGTTTTGGAGTGCTCGATCTGCTTATTCCTCTTGTTCTTCGCCTCTTCCTCCTCCTCTTCCTCCGTCGCAATCGCAGACTCCACCTTCTCCTCCCCTCTCTCGGGGGTCTTTGGTTCAACCCCATCGATCTCCCCACCACCACCTCCGCTGCCACCACCAACCGAACTCTCAATACCACCAAATCGGACACCTACATTGTCCATATTACCAAATATACCGTGATACCTACCCCCGTCGTGGTCGTCCTCCGCCTCTAAAGATGGCCCTGGCTCTGGCATATTCATGAAGAAGTAATCCCACTCCATGTTCTTCGCTTCCGGCATGGGCGGCACCGCCCTATTCTCCGGCGTCCGCGGCGACGACGACCCTTCCGGCCCCACCTTCCCATTCTGCGGGCCCCGCATCGACCCGCTCAAGTCCTTGCTGCTCTTCCTCTCCATGACCCCATTTCGCCCCCTGTGGTCCAGCCCATGCTCTTCTTCTTCTTCTTCTTCCTCCTCCTCCTCCTCTTCCTCTTCTTCCTCCTCCTCACCCTCTTCAATGACGAGAGAATCCAGCTCGTGCCCGGGCTTCACGCTCCTCTTCAGGGGCATCTCGGGCATGCTCATGGCGCGCTTGATCGGGCTGGGGGAGAAGTTAGGCAGCGGCGGGGGAGGCGGCGGGAGGTTATCAATCGACGGCGGAGGGGGAGGCGGCTGGGGCGTACCGTCGAGGGGAGGAGGAGGGGGAAGAGGGGGTTGCTGGTGGTGGTGGAGCTGGGACTCCTCGGCCTCCCCCTGGCCGTAATCACCCAAGGCGGCGCCGGTGTTCTTGAGCGACATTGCGTAGCCGGAATGGCCAGCCGCAAAAGCGTTCCTCGCCGCCACCGCTTCCTTCATGAGAATCTTCCGCTCCTTACATCGAGAAACGGACTCCTCATTATCCACTTTAGACTGCGCGCAACCCATTCGCCCCCCACACCCTTGTTTATCTCTTCTTCTTCTTCTTCTTCTTTTTTTTACTTTGTCGAGCTTCAGAGGTAAAAAGATGTGGAGAAAAGTAGGGAGGGAGAGAGAAATGAAAGGAGGAAGAAAAAAGGTAATGGCTTTTTTGGAGAATAGAGTGAGAGAGAGAGAATATTTAGCAGGTGATAATGGTGGAGAGCATGTTAGTGAGAGAAATAGAGGGGGGAGAGAGAGAGAGAGCAGGAGGATACTGACAAGGTTAGTACTGAGTCACTGTGGAGTGGTTTCAGTGTGTGTGTGTGTGTGCAGAGAGAGAGAGCAGGAGAGTACTGGTGGGGGAAGAGTGTTTGTTCACGCGCGGGGAGTAGGGTGATTTGAAGCTACTCGCTCTACATGGATGAGTTAGTGTTCTCTTTTGTTTTTTTTAAATTAACGGTCACATTTTTTGAGGCGGAAACTACGTCGTTTTTTGTTGATTTTAACCTTGTGCGCACACACTGTGTGTGCGCCTTTGTGGGTGCCATTTTGACGGTAGTGATTCTTTGAAGTGCAGCGCCAAAGGGACGGCTTAGATCCCTCGTAAGCTTTGGGGTTTTTTTTTTTTTTCTAAATCCTATGTTCTTTTTCTTAAACTTTCTCTCTAGCCTCAACCCTAATAAGGTGTCCTTCCTTGATAAGGTCTAGTAATGGAGTGGGTTCCTAGCTTTCTAGCTTGAAGAAATCTGGCCTTGTTTGAGGACTTTGCTTTATACTTTTTGCAGATGAGATGAGTGGGGCTAAATTTTACAGAAACATGAGGTGTCCTGCTAAAATTGAAGTGTACGGAGTTTTAAAAGGGACCAGGCCCAAATATCATATGCGCAAATAGTAGAGTTAATGAAAAAAATAATTTGCATTTACAAGAATACTATGTCTTGTCAGCAGAGCCCGCATTGCAGCCCAGGAACAAGCCTTTTCTTTTTCTTTCTTTTTTTTTTTTTGAGAAATCCAGAAACGAGACCCTTCTATAATTTGTTTACTGATAATTCAGTTACAAAACAAGTCATATTTTCTCCGTCCCACTTCCCTACCTGCATTTTAAACATTTCGCGAATTAAAATTTTACATTAACTACCTATTTTCAACACCATTATTCACTATGAATGATGAATTCAAAGTCATACCTGTACTCAATCATAGAAGAGTCATTGATGAATTTCAAATTTACATTAGTAGCTATTTTAAACACCATTGACAACGTACTATGAATGATTTCAAACTTTTGGCCTAAAATGGCTTTATATATGAAACAAAAAAAAGGACACTGTTTTCTCTTCTCTTTGCAGAAAAGACTAACTACAATACAACGGTATCCTCATCATTTGCACCGAAAGTCATAATCGACATGTGAAACGACACCAAGTAAATAAAGTTGCAGACTATGTGTAGCATACAATGTTTTTTAGGAATAAAAAAATATGAGAATAGGAAAAGAGGAGCAAGTAGCAAGCAAGCATCGCTTGCCTAAGTTAACTTTCGGTCAAAAGGGGCTGATAAATCGACAGTAACTGGTTCAAAAATGACTATATTTGCAAATATGGGCGATTTTATTCACTTTCCTCCCTTCCCATACCCTCCGCACTCTCTTCTCTTTAAGTTGGATTTGTAGTCAGATAGCTTCCATTGGAAAAGTCACAAACTTACAATATGCAGATATAGTCGGAGATAATAAAACAAATTTTCTCGTTCCCATCCGTGTTGTATAGGAAGGATGGTAAAATAAATTTTAGTTATTAGTTCTTTATCTTAGTTATTTTGGCCTCTCACTGTAACCAAAAAGTAATACTTGGTAGTCAATAAATAACAATGTAAGCGGGTAGTTTGTCCTAACCATGGACTGAGATTCTGAGAAGCCTCCCACCAACTTAAAAAAGTAAAATGTGATATACAATAAGGATCGAGACGCAACATCGAATGTATTGTGCATCGGAGGATGCCTGTAATAATAATTAGCAGTCTTAAAACAAAACTTTAGGAGACTCTCTCTCCCTCTCTCTTTAAAATTTTTTCTCTCAACCCTTTCTAGAAACCTCCGCCTCTGATTTTTGCTGAGGCAGCCTCACCTCTTTTTTTTCTTTTCTTGCTTTTTTTGTTTTTGTCTCCTTGCTTTGGATGAATAATTGTACCCATTCAGATTTATTCTTTCATTTAGATTTGGATTGGGATATTTGCCTCTTTTTGAGGATCTCTACCCCTTGTTGGGAATTTTATCCACACATAAGAGTTTTATGGGGCTCTTTACCGTGGATCTGTATGTTTATTATTGTGTGAAGTATGGAGCATGCTGTGAAGTGTTTACTCGCAAGGGCGGATCTTGGCTTTCTCCCGTTTCTCCGGTGATGGTATTTGCTTGGCTTGCTCGTGTCTCAGAGGCAGCGACTCCTACTTTACATGACATTTTCTGCACACCGACCCTATCGTGGAACACCTCCACGTCCTCATCCTGTTGTCAGCCGACCACTGTAAGCGAACTTGGTTGCTGTTTGGGGCTAGTCCTGCTTTATGCGGACATCACGCTATCCCGTTTCATGGGTAGGTGCAAGTTCTTTGGTTTGTGTTTTAATCTTTGCCTATGTCGGATCTAAGTGTAATCACTTTGTATTTATGGTCTATGCTTTGTTTGTAGATTTATTCCACCATGTTTGTGGCCTTTAATTCTGTTTTGTCTCTAGTTTTTAACAATTTATGTAATTCTCATATGTATGTTGTATTCGGTTCTTATTAATATATCTTTATCCTTTCGAAAAAAAAAAAAGAATGTATTGAGCATGAATCGTCCTTTTTAGAATCATTATTCATCTAAATTGGACATGAATATCATCATTCTTCTTATTACGAAAAAAATCCCTAACCCAATGCACGTTCAGCAATCATTAAATGGGAAATTCTGAAACTCCGATGTTTATTTCCTTAAAACAGAATTGATCGATAATATTTATTGCTTTTTGGAAATGAGACGCACATATATCGTTTTTAAAAAATGTTGTGAAAAACATACCATTTGGTTATAAATAAATTTGTTTTTAAAATAATTAGCTTGAAAATATTAAATTAGAATTAACATTTTTTTCTGGTAGAAAAACCAACTTTTTTCTTGTTAAAGGAGAATCAAGCCCGTTCATTTTCTTAGTGTGATGATTACAATGCATCCTAGTGAGTAGTGACCGTCCCGATCATCATCGCGCAAGTGATCATAGATATCAATGGCTCGTGCTTGTGCTTAGATGGACCCACCACCTAAGGAGCTAGTAATTCACTGTTTGAGTAGTATTAAACCGTGGCACTAATCCAGTCCAGAAGTAGGATCACAGCAGACTTGAGCACTCAAGTGGTCATGTTATGTCATGTCATGTCACCAATGCTTGGTATCAGTACATAGTTACAACCATCACTATGTCTTGACTATGGAGAGGAGTTTCCCTTCATGCTTGTTCCCTTTGTGTGTGTGTGTTTTTTTAATTTTCTCTCTTTTGCAAGAATGAAGAAGAATCACTTCTTCTGCTTGAATGAAGACCTGCATGTCTATATTAGTTGGAGCCTAAAAGAGTTCAACGGCGAGCTTTGCGCCTTGCTCAAATAAACTTCAAGGTTAGTTCTTCTGGATTCAAAATTTTTGTCTTCTAAGAAACTTTCAAGGCACCTTTCACACTCGAGTTATTGTTAGTTGGAGCCGGAAAAGTTCAACGGCGAGCTCTCTGCCTTGCTTAAGTAAACTTCGAGGTTAGGTCTTCTGGATTCCAAGATTTTTGTCTTCTAAGAAACTTTCAAGACACCTTTCACACTCGAGTTATTGTTTGATGGTCTGTTTATTCGACTTGTTTTGCAATCTCTCTTTTTTTTCACTATAGACTTTCGCGTTATGTGGTCAAAATCTTGAGAACTCCAGCTTATATGTGAGTTCGCTTTGCGTCCCACATCGGCCAGGAAGACGAGAGTATAAGACTATATAAACTAAAGCAGAGCAAGCCTTACTGTCCCTTCGGGGACATCCGATAAAATTGGAACGATACAGAGAAGATTAGCATGGCCCCTGCGCAAGGATGACACGCACAAATCGAGAAATGGTCCAAATTTTTTTTCGATCTTTTTGCCTAAAAACGACAAGTCAATCCCGTGGCACAGTACCGTTTCCTTTGTTCCCCGTCTATTTTCCCAGTGTTTTTTTTTTTTTGGTTTGGCCTTGCATTATGTTTCGCCGGTTTGCCTGGTGTTATTTCCGACACAGGCTTATGGAATGTGATGTTGGTTGTTGGTTTTTAGTATTTGATCGAAGAAGTAATCGTGTTAATTGTTGGCTAATTATAGTGTTATATTTGTATGAAAATGCCTTTGCGTTTAATTGCTGAACATTATGTTAGAACATTGAACACAGTTGCCGCGCATGTTCTGCTTTTATTTGGTTACTGGCGAGGTCTTCCTTTAAAATTCCATCTCTTGCATTCTTTTTCTTTCATTCCTAGGCCTTGTTGTAGCTGAGTAGTAATTTGGTCATAGGGATATTCTGTATTCAGAAGGCTACAAAACTTGTTGGTTTATCATGATTTTTAACATTTTCATGTGCTTGCTAGCAGCGGCATAAAGTTGTATGTGCAATTTTTGTTGTACATTTTGATGAATAACGATGCATACAAATCTTAGAGAAAAAATGATTGATCCCTGATTGAAAGATTTCTGAGTTCATACTTCTTATTAACTGGCTTGGCGAAACAATAAAGCTCCTCCTTTCTGGGCAAATTAAGATTATACCTGCGTCGCTGTTTTATTGAATTTGCTAATCTTTTGAGCTATCTATGACAGAAGATATAATTGAACTAATTTATAATTCTAGTTTTAGCAGTGCAGTCTGTTATTGAGATGATGACAGATCTGAGATAAATTTTTGTTTTACACCTTGGAAGGCCCCTGGCAATCCCTTTGGTGCATTGTTACTTTGCTTGGTTGAAAAGTTATACTAGGACCACAGGCGAAAAGAAGCATGAAAACCATTCATGGGATGGCTTTTACTATTAGAACTGTGTTAGTATTAAGAGGTGAGCTGATGCCTGTTGTGTGCCTGTGTGTGTGTATATGGCATCTTCCATCGCTTTTCTCTTATTCCTTTGTTCCAAATTTTCCCATGTCTGTGCTTGTCCTAGTTTCTTATGCATCTGTGGAAAACCTGTTCATAGAATATAAACTTGATGAGGATGGAGTTCTACCAGTTGAAATTATACTCTTGCTGCCCTTATGTGTATGATTGTGTGGCATGATTACGCTCTAGTTAGGTTCTGTAGGAGAGTAGAGACTTCTGGCAAAGACCAGTCGAGAGAACCTATGTCTGATATAGACCAGTATCCCACATCGGCCAAATAATTGTACACTTTATACTTTATATACATATACCAGTACCGCTTGACTTGTCCCTTCGGGGACATCCGATAAAATTGGAACAATACAGAGAAGATTAGCATGGCCCCTGGATGACACGCACAAATCGAGAAATGGTGCAAATTTTTTTTGGCATTTTTCCTGCCCGAGAACGACATGTCATCCATTGTGACCTATTGCTTCTTCTTCCTCCCGAACGGAGTGTCAGCTCCGTGGCGTGGTATCTTTTTCTTTTCCCGTCTTTTCCCATTCATCTTTGTGTGACTTCGCATAATTATTTGCTGTAAAATCTGAAGTATAAATTTTCTTACCTAGTGTCCTCTCTCGAACATGATGTGCTCTTTTTTTTTTTTTTTTTTTCCAGCAGGTGAACCCTTCTGCCATGTTATTTTGATCCACCTGGAATATGTTGAATTCTTGCAAGATCTTATATATTGGTTTTTTCATTTGTGCGGATAATGTCTCTGACTTTTCCTTGATCTATTACAACTTTGCCTATCTGGATTGTTTCTCTACTAACCCCTGAATGGCTGTGTAGTTCACTAGTTTGCAGTGGGTAGGACCACTTGGAATTGCACACTTCATGCTTCGGTGGTTTATTCATATATAGTTAAGTTTTGCATGCCGGGTTCGCCAGCAGCCTACACGTTGCTTGCTAAAATCAACTAATGCGTTCTATTTGGTGGTGATTAACGGTATTTAAACCCTTAATCTGAGCTTGAAGCCTATGAATACCACTGTAATTACCAAGGATATGTATATATTTTTTTCTTGTATGCAATATTGGCCCAGCGTTATCCAGGCAAATGTCAAAGGAGAGGTGATTTTTAGTTGGTATATGGGAATGGGAGATTGTTTGCTGCGTCAGCTTCTCATTTGCTTGTAAAAACTATTATGCAAAATGTGCAAAATCGTTTGAAATTTGAAAACACTCCTCTCCATTAAAAGGTAATCCCATACGAGGAAGGAAACTTTGTTTATAAACAGCACAAAATCAACCTATGGGACCTGAATTATCAACAAGAAACGATTATGGTAGTTGGGATTTGAAATTCAAACCACAGAAGCAAGATAAATGTTGAGGAAATCGCTATAAATCCTGAGAATTGCCAATATCCTTATGGGATTTGCCATTTAGCAATGGTTTATAAAAAGTTTTTAAAATTGTGCCGATGGATATGATGTAAAACAGGGTAACCGAATAAAAACAATTTGACAAAAAAAAAGTAAAAAGGAACAAAAAAATGGTAGAATATATAAATCATAAACCCAACCCAAAAGATGATCTCATAAAACAAAAACAAAACATGAACGCATGGTCCTTCTTATATTAAAAAATTATACATTTAACACCTAACCTCGAATTATTGGTTTTCCTAAAAGCTCAGTACTAATTATTATTATTTTTTTATAATCCTAATTTTTTTATTCTTGTAACAACGGAACTCACAATTATCTTTTTATTCGCAAACATTTGTCGCTTCTGTTCGGTCGATGAATTACTGTTGGAAAGGTAAATATTTTACCTTTTGCAAATTACAGCTATATTTCCTTTTACTTAACATTTCTCTCTGATACATTATTTGTTACTTAATTGTGTAAGTTTACAGTTCAGGTTTTTCCGCACCGATGCTTAGCATAGAAATCACGAGAAGATGAAAAATTTCTGATAAAACACATATCAATAAATAAACGAGGGGAAACGGCAGCGTTTGAAGTGAAAGAAACCTGATGGTCGGCCACTACTACATTCCCAGCAGGACCAGCAAAGGATCCCCGAGGTTATAATTGGCGGTTGTCGTCAGGATTTGAACGGCTCGCGACGTCGTTTCAGTTGCCATCGTCGGGGAAGAGAAGAAGAGGGGTTTAGGGCTCTGCAGATCCACAAGAACCCTCCCGTCACCGTCCATGGCGTCTGATTCCCCCCGAACCCGCGTCGATCAGGTCCTCAACGGTCGAATTTTTTTTTTTGTTTCAAATTTGAACTCACTTTTACTTTCTCTCTCGACACCCACCCCCGATTCCACGAGGGTGGCTTTTGTCAATCCCAACGAAACATTGAAACAAGAAAATCGATCTTGCTCAACGATAGTTTAGATTAGAGTTTTTCTGTATTCGTCTCATTAGAGACGACGATGGTAATCATTTTCTTGCCGTTGTTGTGTGCAGTTTTACGCTTCCAGGAAGAGGAAACCCGCGTCTCCCAGTTTGAAGCACGGAAAATCGGAAAAAGATGCGAGGAGCAAAATTGAAGTGTCCCCCAGCGCGAAAGCCACGCTAGACAGTTTCTTGGTGAATTCGTCGCAGGAGGAGAAGCGTGGTGCCAATGCCAAGCCTTCGCTCCCGGTGGCTAGGCAAGACCCAGTCAAGAGAAACCTCGCACCGGAGATTAATAGGATATCCGGAAACGAAGGAAGTCAGCGGCCGCCTTCTTCTTCTGTGGTGCTTGAAAAGGTTGAGAAGGAAAAGTCTCAAGGTTCATCCAATGTGGGAAATGTTGCACCTCAAGGTGTTGCGAAGAGCTGCTCCCTTTCGGGGAATATTGCAGAGAACTCGGAACTGAAACAGTTTGCAACTGATTTTTTGTCTCTGTATTGCAGGTAAAGTAACGGCTAAAAGATGGCTAAGTGAATAGTGATTGAGTAGCTACAGTATTAAGTAGTGTGTTGTTTTGGGCTTTATGAATTGTGTAATACTACTATTAAAATTAGTCTTCCTCTGCAGTGAACTTCAATCAACTGCAACTTCACCATCAAAGCCTTTGACAAGGTTGAATGAGCGCAAGAGACATGGTGGACCGGGTGAAGAGGATGAGACTCCTGAAAAGAGGCAATGTGTGTCTATTCAGTGGCGTGGAGAAGGAGCAGCTGCATGCTCCATTGAGAAGCAGGCAGAAGATAGGCAATCTGGTTGTATTCTTAAAAAAGTTGCTTCGGTTTTGAATGAAGCTAGAGAGGTAAGACTAGGAAAAATTGCTGTTGATTTTTGGTTTTTCTTTCGGTTAATGTTGTGTTGTATCTTCTCCTCACACTTGTTTAGCAGGTAGCTGCTGGCAGTGGTTCCAATCAAGCAAGCTTGAGAAAATGTAACAGTGGGTTCAAACCAATTGTAAATAGGGCTGAATTCAGCACGCCAGGGTCCTCTGTTGTTAAAGCACGTGCAACTGAAATACCCAAATCTGCACGTGGAAGCTCCATGTTTTCTCCAGGAGAGGCGTTCTGGAATGAGGCAATTGAAGTTGCTGACAGTTTATTTGGTGAAGTTGATAATCCTCTTGCCAGGGCTGTAGAAGGTGTAACTAGTGGAAATTGTTGTGACAAGTCTGAGGAAGAGCCAGACAAGGCCAGCTGCAGAAGTTGGCAGGTGGAGAATGGCGGTTCTTTGGAGTTAATTAGGAAGCATTTAAAAAATTCAGTTAAGCAAGTGTCTCCCCTGCCTGTCAAGCATCTTGACTTTTTGTGCGAGGACGGGAACTTGGATGGAACTACTGTCCATTGTGCTACAGATAATCCAGACAGTTTGCAGAAGAGTTGTGAACTGTCTGAATCTGGTTCTCTAAGTATCAAAGTGTCACAAAAAGCCAGTGTTGCATGTGAAAATGTACCGCATACCAACAAAGAGATGCATAAAGCACCAGAAACCATATCTTGTCCTACTACCTCAAGAAATACAGATTTGTTGAATCAAAATGCTGACAAAGCTATATGCAATTCGCCAGGGGATCAAATTAGAAACTTAACTGCGATAAATGAATGTCCTGGAGCCGAAACTCCTACAAGTTTTCTGCCACTTAAAGACCGGTTAGATCTTAGCAATTGGCTTCCGACAGAGATATGCAGCGTATACAAGAGGAAAGGAATTTCAAAACTTTATAATTGGCAGGTATGTTTTTGAATCACCAAGTTAGATTCGATTATTTTTCTACTATACAAACAATCCAGAGGGGAATCTTTCCTCTTTTACATATGGTTAACTTACTCTGGTCACAGGGATAAGGGTACCTGATTTTACATTGACTTTTAATACTCGGATCACATCACTTCCATAGGTGGCTCATTTTGACTTGTTGCCCTTTGGGCCTACCATGAGGGGAAATTTTAACTTGTTCTTACCTAGGATAATAGCTTGGAGTTCACTCATGAAGGATATATTTAGGGTCATTTTCATCTAACCCACGATCAATTTGGTTTCCTATTTGAACTTGTTGCTTTTGGATGCGTTCATAGAAGTGAAATGGCTTATTTTCATGATTTTTCCTCTGTCATGTGCAGACTTACTCCTAGATTGTGGTCTGGACCAAGATAAACTCTTGAAGTTTGTTAAAGAGTGTCTGCAGACCTTAATCAGTGAACAAGATGCATGTCATGAAAGTTAAAATTGCTGTCTAAACTTTTAAAGTTGGTTTTGTTTACTGTTTTCTTTTCATTTGAGAGACCGAAATGGCAGTTCTTATAATTTCTTAAGAGTTATCTTCACGCATTCACATGAGATCAAACCTCAAAATGTCTAGTTTTTGCAATTTGGTTACAATCCAACTCCATATCTGACTTTTCATATGAGGCTCTGTTCTTTCTCTTCTTTTGCCTAGAGATATATTGACAGAGATGCATTGAAAAGAGAGTGATTCCTACCCATGATGGAAGGATAGTGATTTAGGTGTAACAGAGACTTTCTCTTACTACTTGCTTGACACTTGAAATTATTGTTTGATTAGTCAATATACTGTTTGTCAGTTACTTTTAGTCTTGTTCTCTGTTTGGCTTATGTTTTTTAGATATATTGATTGTTCAAAACTTGGGTTTGTTGCTTTTTCTGTTGCCGTATGTCATCTTGGCATGTTTAAGTCATTCAAGCACTACATTCTCTTGGGGCTACAGAGGTTATAGGAATTGATGTCTCCCCATTGATGTACTTACATTATATGCTCTCTATAATGCGTTCTATTCTGTAGGTTGATTGCCTTCAAGTTGATGGTGTTTTACAGAGAAGGAATCTTGTTTACTGTGCATCCACAAGGTAATTTCTAATGCAATTGACAGTTCGGAGTGTGAGATTGTATAGTAGATTTCTAAACTTCTTTGATCATTGATTTCTCCTCTGGTTGATGGTGACAAAAGATGCAACTGCCCTAAGCGTTTTGGTTTTCGTTATGTTTTCAGAGACATCTGGTAGTTGCTTAATCATATTCCTTTTTCACAGTGCTGGAAAAAGCTTTGTAGCAGAAATTTTGATGTTGAGACGGGTGCTTTCAACTGGAAAAATTGCTCTTCTTGTGCTTCCCTATGTGTCAATTTGTGCAGAGAAGGTTTCTCATGTTTATATTGCAAGTCGTTGATTTTATTCATGTTCTTACCCCATATGCGGACTGTGCATATTCATTCTCTGCTAAAATTGGTCCAGGCAGAACATCTGGAGGGGATTCTGGAGCCACTTGGTAAGCATGTTCGAAGTTATTACGGAAACCAAGGTGGTGGAACACTTCCAAAAGATACTTCTGTAGCTGTTTGCACCATAGAAAAAGCAAACTCGTTAATAAACAGATTGCTGGAAGAAGGCCGTCTATCAGAGATTGCAATAGTGGTGATAGATGAACTACACATGGTATTCAATTAATGTGTCCTAGAATTATACTCATTGCTAAAATATTAAGTGTCCAATCAGATTGTTTAATGGATCAGATAGTTAAACATATTGCTCTAGTTTAGCCCTTTATTTTCCCTTGAGAGTTTCTCACTTATCCATGCATACATTTAAGAAATTCTTTTAGAGGCTTCTTATGCGTCTGTTTATTTTCAGGTTGGTGATCAGCACAGGGGTTATCTCTTGGAACTGTTGTTGACAAAACTTCGGTATGCTGCTGGGGAAGGAAATTCTGAATCTAGTAGTGGAGAAAGCTCAGGCACGAGCAGTAAGGGTGATCCTGCTCATGGTCTGCAAATTGTTGGAATGAGTGCAACTATGCCAAATGTGGCAGCAGTTGCTGACTGGTTACAAGTAAGTAAGATCAAAGGAAAGGCTCATGAATGTTTTCTGTTTGCTTTCTGACTTATGAGCCTGCCATGCGGACAGCTTTCAGATGATTTGCAAATTTCTTTTTTCTGTTGCTGGACTCGTTATATGATTTATGCAATTAATAACTTCTTGATGCAGTAAGAATATACTGGTTTGCAGGCGGCGCTGTACCAGACCGAATTTCGACCTGTTCCACTACAGGAATATGTTAAAATTGGCAATACAATTTATGACAAGGAAATGAATGTTATTAGAACAATTCCTCGGGCAGCTGACCTTGGCGGTAAAGATCCGGACCATATTGTGGAATTATGCAATGAGGTTGGAAGCAGGCTGCCAGTTTACTGTCTAAATTAGTCAAGGTGAATCTGGGACTGAATATTGAACTATGTGAGTGGTTAATGGATATTTCAGGTTGTTCAAGAGGGGCACTCGGTGCTAATATTTTGCTCGAGTCGAAAAGGATGTGAATCAACTGCAAGGCATGTGTCAAAATATCTGAAGCAGTATTCTGTTACCAGTCACGAAGACAGTGAGTTTGCTGATACTGCTTCAGCTATTGATGCATTGCAAAGATGTCCTGCTGGAGTGGATCCTATATTAGAAGAAACACTACCTTCTGGTGTTGCCTATCATCATGCAGGCCTTACGGTATTTTTTTTGGATATGCATGGCACCATTATTTTGACTTTTGATATTTCATTGCTTGTTCTTCTTCTTGCATACGATTTGCTATTTCTGTTCATGAGTTGGTTAATATGTGTACACATTTGTGAGTGTCGCATCTTCACAGACATGTCTATTTTTCACCGAGGCTTTTTTTTTTGAAATTTAGAGCATGCTCTGTATTATTGTGATACCCTGTGGAGAATAAAGCTGATCGTTATTGATAGGTTGAGGAAAGGGAAATTATTGAAACATGCTACCGCAGAGGCCTTTTACGGGTGTTAACTGCTACGTCTACCTTAGCTGCTGGAGTTAACCTGCCTGCAAGGAGGGTCATTTTTCGACAACCCAGAATAGGCCGTGATTTCATTGATGGGACAAGATATAAACAGATGGCTGGCAGAGCTGGTCGGACTGGAATAGATACTGCAGGAGAAAGTGTATGTTTAATTGTTTTACTCATTTGCTCTTGCAGTTTTTGGAAGGTTTTCTGCAAGTTAATATGCTGCCAACGTTATATTTTAGGATTAACTTTTCCAATGCATCGTTTTCTTTTGTAGTTTTAACGGTTTATGCTTAACTTAACCAGGTACTGATTTGCAAGCCGGATGAGTTAAAAAGAATTATGGGACTTCTCACTGAAAATTGTCCACCATTGCAATCTTGTCTTTCTGAAGATAAAAATGGAATGACTCATGCCATTTTAGAAGTGGTGGCTGGGGGAATTGTTCAAACCGCTAATGACATTCACCGATATGTTAGATGTACTCTTCTCAATTCTACGAAACCGTTCAAGGATGTTGTTAAATCGGCACAGGATTCTTTACGGTGGCTGTGCCACAGAAAGTTTCTTGAATGGAATGAAGAAACTAAGTTATACAGCACGACACCTCTTGGACGTGCAGCTTTTGGCAGTTCTCTATGTCCAGAAGAATCGCTTGTAAAAATTCTTCCTGCCTACCTTCAATATTACTTATCAATTTCGAGATAATGCCATATATGTTACGAATGTTCTGTTTTTTCTCTTCTTGGTTTTGGTTTTCCTTTCTCTCTATTAGTTGGCTTCTTTTCTTTTTCGTCGATTTTATCTTGTTTTAACTATTATGGCTTGTGATCACATGTTTGTTTCTGCCTTTAAATTGATTTTGTAGATTGTACTTGACGATCTTTCTAGAGCGAGAGAAGGATTTGTGCTCGCATCTGATTTGCATTTAGTGTACTTAGTTACACCAATCAACGTTGATGTTGAGCCAAACTGGGAACTATACTATGAAAGGTTCATGGAATTGTCAGCTCTTGACCAGGTACTAATGCTATTGAACTTATGCTATATATTTATGCTAGGATAATGCCATGGTGCCTAGATGGGAACAACTGATGCAGGTTTTTTTTGCCACATGATAGTCAGTTGTCTTGAATTGTTAAGTCTTTATTTGGTGCATGATTTTGGAACCCTTGATATGACTGAATATATGAGGGTCAATGGATTATGTGGGCTCCTGATTACGTGAAGTATGTGTTTGCATATCTTTTTACATTCTACAGATATTGCCGCATAAACCATCTAATGTTAAATAGGTAAAACTGGTGATACCTTTTGCTTTAGAAATTTCTTTTGATACTTTCAAACGTATCTTTTAATATCTCTCCCTTTCTTTTTGATTTTCATGAAATGAAGTCTGTTGGAAATCGAGTTGGAGTTTCTGAGCCTTTTTTAATGCGTATGGCACATGGGGCACCAATGCGCACTTTGAGCCGAACCATGGATGATGCGAGAAAGAATCGCGGCAAGCTTGATAGCCGCTCTGGGGTTATTAACAGAAGTATGATGTCAGACGAGCAGACACTACGAGTTTGCAAAAGATTTTATGTTGCTCTCATCTTGTCAAGGCTAGTGCAGGTGTCTGATCTTTTGACTTTTATCAACCTGATCATAGTTGAATTTTGAAAACTTATTGTTCTTCAGGGTGTCTTCTTGTTCTTTAGTAGGTCTATCATGTGTGTTTGCTTATGGATGCATTAGATATATTTCCATGTTTGGAATGCGTGTCTAACAGCATCCCTATGCACCAATTTATTTATTTCGAAGAGTATGTAACTTGTATGGTACTTATTTAACTGCAAGGTATATCAGTTATATTTCCATGAAATGTGTTGCGTTTGTGCTAAAATATTTGCGTTGTTTTTTATTCCCGGCTTTGCTGATTGACTATCTTTATGTGAGGATGAAGGAAGTACCTGTTGGTGAGGTTTGTGAAGCTTTCAAGGTTGCTAGAGGTATGGTTCAAGCATTGCAAGACAATTCTGGAAGATTTGCATCCATGGTTTCATTGTTTTGTGAAAGACTCGGATGGCATGATCTGGAGGGTTTGGTTGCCAAATTCCAGAATCGTGTTTCATTTGGAGTGAAAGCAGAGATTGTGGAGCTTACTACTATACCGTACATTAAGGTACTTTTCTCTCTTTCCATTTCCCTTTAAGGTTCTGGTGATGCGATGTTAGAGTTGCATGTATTTTTGTTAATTGGCCCAGAAACTACATTATAATTTTGTTATTGCGTATGTAGGGTTCTCGAGCAAGAGCACTATACAAAGCAGGCTTGCGTACTCCCCTTGCTATTGCTGAAGCATCTATTCCTGAAATTGTCAAAGCTCTTTTTGAATCTTCATCATGGGCTGCTCAAGGTAGTTTGTAAAGAAATTAGGTGCATATCTTCATGCAATACTTTCAATAGTCCTTTGCATGATGTTCTCATTCTGGCTTTTAGTTTCTATTTTCATGGATTGCAAGATCACTGTGATGTAATAAAAATGCTCAACAAAATATGAGATGATTTGATGATTGTCCCAGACCTCATTTAGAATAGGATTCACCATGAGAAGAATGGCCTTGATATGTCAGAAAAAACCTACCTCTTGCCAGTCTCGATAGCTAGTAGGAACATTTCATATTATGAAACCCGAAGAACTATATGAGATGATACTTGGCTATTGCTAAATATGCTTTTGACTCCAATAAGAGACACACTGCATCTGCATGCGCTTACGTGCATATGGAGACAAGCATACATGGAAGTTTGTTTCATGCAGGAAATGGTGCATTCGTGTGTGTTTATATTGATGCTTATGTACTCCATCATTCACTGCTTGGTTTATTAATATAAGAGTGCATGATATTGTTCTAACATTGAAGGGGTTTGTATTTTGTACATGCACATGTACACATTTGTGTGTTTTACATTTTTGGTTCTTTGTTTGTTCTTCTGAGCTTGCCACTCTCGCTATATAGCTTTAATGTTTTGTCGACTACGTAAAGGATTTAGTATCGGCACTTTTGCTACATTAGAGTGTTTCAGTTGGTGTTCATGGTTTCAAATTTGAGCTATGATAAAGGTCTATGTTTAACTTTTCTCGCCGAAGCTTGAAGGATAAGGCCGGATTTTAAGAATTTTGAGGCTTTTATTTCGGTTGTTTTCTAATAAGTCTATGTTTAACTCTCATTCTTAAGGGTCTAGGTGTGAAGAGTTTCAGATTGCTGGATTTAGGTTTTCTTTTTTCATTTTTTATTTTTGAACATGCTAAGCTTGCTATTAAAGCTATTTGTTTCATTCTTCTGAAACTTTTCAAAGCTTTCTTGTAATACTGCTGTCCCATGGCCATTCTAATTGTGAATTGTTATGCACTTCCCCTCACACCTGCGCTGACAGAGGGCTCAGCGCAAAGGCGCATGCAGTTGGGAATTGCGAAGAAAATCAAGAATGGTGCACGCAAGATTGTCCTGGAGAAAGCTGAAGAGGCAAGGGCTGTTGCATTCTCAGCTTTCAAATCGCTTGGGCTCAGTGTCCCACAGTTCTCTAGACCTTTATTACCAAATAATTCTGGAAACCTTGCTGAACAAGGAGATGCAAGAACCTGTTCCGGGAGTGGCACAGACATCTTACCTGGTTTAGAAAAGCAAGATCATACTGCATCTAAATTGCCCACATCATGTGCGACTTCTGGTGAATTTGCTTCAGAAAGTGGAGGAGGGAAGTTGATAAAATCTTTGTGTGCTGGAATAGCAACACCTGCAGAAGCAAACTCAACTGGTACCCTGCAGTGGGACTTTGATGCTGAACATTCTAAGGTACCAGTGGTAAACTCCACAATCCCCAGCAAGGAGCTTGATGGTATCAGCATTTGTAGCAAAAATGCACCTTTAATGCTTTCTGAGAGGAATACTGGTGGCCCAGTGCGTGAACAATGCGATCAAGGTAATCTATACAGTGAGAATAAGGACATTGTCTGTGAGAAGGGTCCTATTAATGCGAGCAATACTGATGGTGGATTTGATTCTTTCCTGGATCTTTGGGAAAATGTCCGTGAATTTTACTTTGATATTCACTATAGTAAACGTTCAGAAGTGAATTCTCTCTACCCATTTGAAGTACTTGGCATCGCCATCTGTTGGGAAAATTCTCCTGTTTACTATGTCAATCTTCCTAAGGATTTATTGCATTGCAGCCAAAGCAGTGACTGCTCGCCCATGACTCTTCCTGGTGGGAAGAGAAATGTTCAACTTCCTGAGAATTGGTTGGAGATAGTTAGACAGAGATGGAATAGGATTTGTGAAATCATGGGTAAATTGGAGGTCAAAAAATTTACTTGGAATTTAAAAGTTCAGATTCAGGTGCTCAAGAGTGCTGTCATTTGCATTCAGAGAATTGGTTGCCTGAATCTGTCTGGCACAAATATGGGCCCTGAATCGATAGACAGCTCGCACTTATTACTGTCTCCTATGACTATTAAAGAAGGAATTGATATGTGTATTGTAGCATGGATTCTTTGGCCAGATGATGAGAGAAGCTCCAACCCAAACCTGGAGAAGGTAAATATCAAAGTCCATGTTTGTATTACAAAGAGCAAACCTAATGCAATATGCATAATTTGTCTTCAGTTACTTACAAATGCAACTAAAATATTTGTTAAGGTCAAAAGCAACCAAAAGTATAATATCTTTTTCAAATTTTCAGTTTTTTCATTTTTGTCATTGATCAACTTATGTAAGAATCCACTGCTACAGGAAGTTCGGAGAAGATTATCAAGCGAGGCTGTTGCCTCGGCTAATAGAAGTGGCAGGTGGAAGAATCAGACACGCAGAGCAGCCCATAATGGTTGCTGTCGCCGAGTTGCACAAACAAGAGCCCTGTATTCCGTTCTTTGGAAGCTGCTTATTTCTGAGGGACTCATTGAAGCTCTAACGAATATTGAGATGCCACTGGTACATTTTCCTACTGCTTCTTTCTGTGTATGTGTACACCTAATAGGAGTTTGATGGACATTGAATTTGAGACTTGCTAATTAGGGGGCTAAAAATAATATGCTCCACCTTTATATATTATCTCAATAATTGATGGCATACTTTATAATAAACCAGAGGAGATCAAATCAGAATCTTCAGAGGTTTATTAAACTGCTATATAAGACTCTCCACTTCTAGAAAGTGTTCATGCTTGATGCTTTTTGAATGGTCTAGCACAAAGTCTTGTGATGTCAGACATTATTGCTTGTGGAGCGAATGGAGTGATGTTAGCTGAAGTTTCATTATATTTCCTGTTTCCATCTGTAATTTAATGCTTGTAAGAATGTGCTAGGTCAATGTCTTGGCAGACATGGAGCTATGGGGGATAGGTGTTGACATGGAGGGATGTCTTCAAGCACGTACTGTACTGGGGAAAAAACTAAGGTGTCTTGAAAGGAAGGCTTATGAGCTGGCTGGCATGACATTTTCCCTGTATACAGCAGCTGATATTGCAAATGTGCTTTATGGACATTTGAAGCTGCCCATACCAGAAAGACACAATAAAGGGAAACAACATCCGAGTACGGACAAGCATTGTTTGGATTTATTAAGGTATTGAGACTTTTCTTCTCCTTTGGTCAGCATCTTTGAATTGTTAACTTTATTAAGGTACACCCTGCAATTTTTGTACGTGCAAAGTGAGTGCTTATATATTTTTTGGAAATTGTTATGCTGACTTGGGTGCTAGAAAGCCTTTAATTAATTGATGGGTAGGTAAATTTACATCTTGTATTAGTATAAAAGTTACTCATTTTTTGCCAATGTAATTGCTTTCCCACAAATAAGCATAGTGGAGTTGGCATGTTGGTTTCTCTGCATTTATTGTATTTGATTTGTCTATCATGAATCTGGTTCCTTTCAGACATGAGCACCCTATTATTCCAGTTATCAAAGAGCACCGGACATTAGCAAAGCTTTTGAACTGTACACTGGGTTCAGTCTGTTCACTGGCTAGGCTATCTATGAGGACACAAAAGTACACACTACATGGCCACTGGCTCCAAACGTCAACTGCAACTGGAAGACTTTCAATGGAGGAACCTAATCTCCAGGTTAGGATTGTATCTGCACTTTTAATCATCTCGTCTGGTAGTTAGATTTATTTTTCAGTGTCGTGAGTGTTTTTTCTTTTCTGAAAAAATTATTGTACAGACTGTGGAGCATATGGTTGAGTTCAAATTGAGTACGGATAAAGATGGGAATGATGTTGACGCAGACGATTATAAGATAAATGCACGTGATTTCTTTGTTCCTACCCAGGTAACTACGTTATAGCTATGTGGTGCTTCTGAATGTAACTGCTTTCTTTGTGTAGTTTATATCAAATATATGTTTGAAAAGTTAAAACAATGACTGAACATAGGAAATTATACTAAAATTCCTGGACCTTATTGACAGCAACTTGTTTGAAGTTACTGAAGCATGCCAACCAGGGAAAAAACAGATTACTGCAGAAAAACTACCTTAAGAGTCATTTTCAATCATTACACATTATGTCTAAAATAGGTCATTGCCTTTCATTGGGACCAGTAACTTCTGATGTTTGGTCAAAACTGTGGTTATTACATTACCACTATTATATGACAATTTTATTTCTCCAGTGAAACTATTACACATTCGGTGCTTGTAATGGGTATTGATTTCATGAAAAAGGTCTATTTTATCCCTCTTTGATCAAATTTCACTTCTATTTTTGTTATTGAAGCTTTGTTATCCACTTAGTGATGGCTTTTAAAGTTTAATTACTTTCTTAATGTTTTGCTATTTGTCAAGTGAAAACTTCATTTGAGCCTTTTTTTACCTCAATGAGTTTAGCTCCAGTATATGATGATGCTACAGTTATCTTTTTCCTGCTATGTATCTCTTGATTTCTTTTATTGTATAATTGAAAATTTTCTTACCTTCTGTAGCAAGTTTTAACCCATATAAATAGTATAAGTAGCACAAGCAGTGCTCCATTGTGAAATAAGTGTAATTCACTCCCCACACTTTAAATTTTTTGGTATTACTACAAGGTGGTGTCATTCACCGACTCGTGATTGTTAATCCCACACCCTTGTCTCTATTATTAAACAACTTAACCTTTATTTGAATTGAATTACTCATAAACTATATGATCAACAAGGGATTTGTGGAAATAGAATATAAAGCTGACATTGCACATTGCACAAAAGGCTAAAGTTTCTCTCATTTGCATTGCAGGAGAATTGGCTACTGTTGACAGCAGATTATTCTCAGATAGAATTGCGGCTCATGGCACACTTCTCTAAAGATGCTTCATTGATTCAACTCCTTACTAAGCCACATGGCGATGTTTTTACCATGATAGCAGCACGATGGACTGGAAAAACAGAGCAGTCTGTTAACACAGATGAACGAGATCAGACAAAAAGATTGGTGTATGGGATCCTGTATGGAATGGGCTCCAAAACTCTTGCTGAACAGCTGGATTGTAGTTCAGATGAAGCTGCACAAAAAATTAAAAGCTTTAAAAGTTCTTTTCCTCGTGTTGCTTCTTGGCTCGAGGAGGCAGTTGCATCTTGCCATAAGAAAGGGTGAGGCTGTCTTTTCATTGTTGTCTGTCATCGGCTGCTTTCAGTACTCTTGAGCAAGAATAAATGATAGGTGCAGTCTTTGGTTTTATTTCTTTTTTTGTGATGTTCTTATTTACAAATAAAAAATTTTCTGGTTCCTCTGGTGACTTATATCCTGAACCTTTATTACTAAGTTGCTTTATTTTTGAATTTTTCTTTTTTTATAATTCATAATCATTTTCTTATTATGGCTTTGGTTATAAATGGTTTCACATCATTGTGGAAATTCCCCATGTACATTAGACCTATCTTTTTCTTGTGCCTTGAGACTCATATCTGTGGTGCCAGATGCTCTTTCTGATGTCATTCAATTTGATGGTAGACAGAAGCAAACTTCTATAAACAGAAAATGGCTTTAGCTCCGTATGCAAATTAATTCTTAATTTGCTTTCCAGTTCTAGTTTTGTTCTTTATTGCTTATAAATACTCATCTATATGATCCAGATATGTGGAAACCCTAAAGGGAAGAAAGCGCTTCTTGTCGAAGATAAAATTTGGAAACAGTAAAGAAAAAGCGAAAGCCCAGAGGCAAGCAGTTAATTCTATCTGTCAGGTACTATCTGTCTTTGGCTGGTCAAGGTAGCATAATAAATAAAGTGTTCTCCTGACAATTGCTCTTTACAGGGATCTGCTGCCGATATAATCAAGATTGCAATGCTAAAGATATACTCGGTGATTGTTGGAGTTAACAGGGCAGCTTCTGACTCTTCAAATTCGACTGACTTTTGCATGCTGAAGGACCGGTGTCGAATTCTTTTACAGGTTGCTTTATAAAAAGTCATTATCTGCTTCTTGCTTGACTGTCCTTTTAACCAAAATATGATAAAATTGTTCAATAATTGAGTAAAATGTGGGGATTGTCTTTCCCTTTTGCATTTGTTAGCGTACTCGTACTGCAAAGTTACATTTAAGCCTTGGTCTAATTTGAAATCTGTTTTAACCACAGGCTGATAGACTGGTATTTGTCCTTGTCCAGGTACATGATGAATTAGTCCTGGAGGTTGATCCCTCGGTGATCAAGGAAGCTGCACTGTTGTTGCAGACTAGCATGGAAAGTGCTGCCTCACTTCTTGGTATGCATTCAGTACAGTTACATTTTTCTTTATTTGAATTTTTATATATAAGCCATAACTATCCTCTACTTTTTTCAGTTCCTTTGCCAGTAAAACTGAAAGTTGGAAGAACATGGGGTTCCTTGGAACCTTTCCAGGCAGATAAATTTTCAAATGAACTGAAGAGGTGAAAATGTTTTGAATAATGGAAAAAGCTGAATGTCATTGAACAACAAAGATGGACGAATTTAACCATGGTATGTAGTGTGGAGTATAGTTCTAGAGCGCTTTGATTTTTAGGGATAAGAATTGACCTCAAAATTCTTATTTTTGGTCCAGAAATTCCAGCTCACTTACAGAGGATGAGCAGTGCCTTCGCAAGGAGAAAAATAGTTTCCTTAAAGAGGCCTGAATTGAAGTGTTCTAATTGTAGCCTTGTGGTAGAGTCATGCAAAAGGAAAGCTTATTGGAAGAAAGGATTGAACTTTTCAGATAAAGATGAACAAATTTAACCATGGTATGTACTGTAATTTATGAATCGAAATTCTTCACTGCTTTGAGAAGATTTTACCTCAAAATTGCTTGTGCTACAATTGCAGCTCAATTACAGAGGGCTAACAGTGCCTTCCCGACGAGAAAAATAGTTTTCTTGAAGAGGCCTGAATTGAAGGTTTCTGATTGCTGCCTTATGATGAATCGCGCATAAGAAAGCTTACCAGAAGGAAAGGATGGAAGGAAGTCATACATAGCTGCTTGCAGGTGGGTGACAGACTGAGGAGATTGTGGATTAATTCTTGTGGTTTCATGGGAAATATTTGTATAACCTCCTGTTGGCACAAAGTCTTAATGGTCATGAACTTAAACCTTCAGCACATGCTTACCATCAGAGTCAAAATGTTTGTATAGCTCTTGATCCTATAAGTGCTAGGAAGCCCGGGGATATTTTCTTCCGAACAAGGTTGAATTCTTAGATTGCTGCCTCAGTTGGGGAACTTGGAGAAACGCGGTATGCTTTATTACTGGGGACTACTATTATTAAAGGCATGCATTAATTATGGTTTAGGTTGTCTGCTTTAAGTTGTTAAGAGCTTTATGTGCTCCGCAGACACCAGAATCTCTTATCACCTGAGGCATTAGGCTCCTATCTTGTCCGAGTAACATGAAGCGATGCATATGTCTGTGTGTGGATGTTCTTTCTCACTCATTCATCTTCACATAGGTTGATGTCTTCAATCAATTTACTAATCATTTTTAAAGGCTGATTCTTTGGAGGAAGAATGAGAATAGGGGGAATGAAAATGAGTGTAAGAAGACAGTGGGAGAAGAATGTCTTCTAGCTCTCAGTTTTGATGCGACAAAAACTTGAGAGATATCTGTTGTTCCCTTGTTTAGAAAGTAGAAAGAAAAAAGGATACTGAAATGAGAACGCTACACTGAAATGAGATCTCTATCATTTTCCTTTTCCTTATGCTTTTAGTTGTTCTAACAACAAGCAGTTCTCCAGTTTCCTCCGTTTTTTTGTGAATAATTCTTCAAAAATAAAACTACGGTTGTAAATTGTTTCTTGGTGACCAATTCATGGTTCTGCTTGATGCTCATACTTTGTACGTTTGAATAGTGTCTAGTTTTTCTAATTTACTGGAGGATCTGATAATTCATCACAGAGGGAGAACATGCCTTGCTTTGTTTCTACATAAAAGCAATTTATGTTTCAGTGAACTCTTAGAGAGCATGTTGTCCTGCTTTCTCTTTGAATTTTATTTTGACTTTTCTTCTTGCTACTGACTTCGAAACCAACAGGTGTGCATTATTACCTCTGGCAAGTGTCGCTAGAATATAACATGTGCTACAACGTCAATCAGTGTGGTTAGACGTTATATCAGGTATGCCCCAGTTTCCTATCCTGGAACTCTTCTGAAAAATGAGTTTGTTTACACTTTAACCACAAATCTCTTGGTGCTGCAATATTTCCATTAGAAACTAGAAAAGCATGTTTTATGACTCTACGTTCCAGTAACTGTTTGCAGCTATAAAAATATTGTGTTTAACTAAAATAGAAGTGACCACGGGGAATGGGGGGTCTCAGTGTCGTTTAAAAGAATGTGCATGTGATTGGTACTTCTATGTAATATTCGTTTCTTGCTTGCAATTGCTTAGTCTCTCATCTTGTTTGTTCTCCTCTGTCCAGTTTCATGTCAAAATCCAAATCATCCGCAATTACGCATTCATTTGATTAATAATCATCAATAAATTCAGCAAGAGTGGTTTGCTGCAGGTATCGAGATTTCCAAGGCTGCATCTCCTGATTTGAAAGTTGGAAGGCAGGAATATTGCCTTGATCTCTGGCGAACTTTGTTATTATGAGGAGAGTATAAATTTCTAATATCCACCTGATATGGCATGTGCAAGGATTGAGGCAAGAAACTAACGAGTTGAAGAGGTCGGTGCTTGTAGATAAGGCGGAAATTTCTAGAAAAAGTTTCTGTCTAGTTGGTTAATAGTCATGGAATGTATGGGTTCTTATTAGACTTGTATTAGAATCCCCAGTAATAATGATCCTCTCCATCCCTAAATTATTATCTTTTTTTTTTTTAACAGGGATGACAGAAAACTATTAATGTAGCCAAGTTCCATGTGAAATAATAGTATTCGACTATCGTTTGTATAGTGAATATTTTCAATCGCGTCACCAATGTTAAGGTTATATACTTCCTCTTGCCAAAAAACTGGAGTTTTAGAAAAGTGAATTTTTGTCAATGGAGAAATTTAACGTTTATTGAATTTTTCTTTTCTGTTTATCCTTACTCGAGTTGGTGGACAAAAATAATTTTTTAGAAAATTTTGTAGGTCAAGAATTTCATATTGGAAAGGAAAATAGGAGACATAAGGATTTAAGATAGCCAGAGGTGTTTTGGATAATATAAGGGTGGTGGTAATAATTAAAGTTGCTGATGTTGAGTTTTGTTCCGAGTGAAATGTAGTCATAGAGTATGAATTATTCCTGAAATTGAGAGTATTAAAATAAATAATATAACTCAAACTTTCAATTATTTAGAAAGGGAAGGAGTACTTGGATGATAAACATTTGATGATTCCTTAAATGTTTTAGATAAGATGATCAGTAGTCGAATCACGATTCAAGAAGATTCCAATAGCGACAGATGCAAACACTAATAAAGTACAAGGAACTTCATCAACTGTTACAACTAGCAACTTGGAGGAGTATATGTATGTATATATATCCTTATATATATGATGACGGGTTTCCTTAGGTACATTATTATAGTAGCTGAATAGAGTGAGCTTACAGATAATAGTATTATTACAATCTCACTAACAAGCGGAACTAAGAACAGCAATCAAAAGTCTTAGAGAGAACTTCTAGTTGGGACCCCAAACAATGTGGTCTTGTGGAAGGAAATGGCAGACCGGAACAGTTCCTGGCTTCACCTTGAGCACCTGGAAAGCCAAATGCTTTGGGTTCCACTCTGATGTGTCTTTGTGGCAGACTGCCACTGCATTAACCTTCGTTCCATCTTCACCCACCAAGGGAACCACGTAAGCGCTTGTGGATTTGGTTGCATGGCAGTAGAACACAGCATAGGCATAGTTCTGCTTGTGGCAAACCACAGATTCATGGCCTGCAATCTTCTTCACTCCTCCCTTGATTGTGTACTTCTGCAACAACTGGGATTCTCCAGCCACCTCTGTGGACACTGCCTGGACATTCTTCCCAAGCTTTGAAGTGGTGAAATCGATCATAGACTCCAGCGAAGTTGCACAGTATTTCTCTTCTCCCCTGATTCCAGAAGCTTCACATTCCTTGATTGTCTCACTCATTATCTCAGCTTCTTCTGACCCGGGTTGTACCGAAAACTGGTTATAGATTTCTGGCAAGTTCTTGGAGGAGAAGGGTATGGAGTCAGCAACTTGGCGCGGTAAGAAAGTAGCTGCGTTTTGGCTTTCAGTGAAGTGCAAGTCCATTGTCTTGCCAGGATGCATATCTTTCTCCAAGAAAAACAATGCAACATTTGGGTTATCATGGAGTTGTGTCTCAGTGGCTGCATACACGTAACTAAAAGGTGATGGCCCTGGTCTTACCCCAACATAAACAGGCCTCCCTTTGTGCCCTGTTCTTACATTTACTCCACCTTTGCCAACACCAACACTGGTTCCCTTCCCAGGCTTTCCGGTGTTAACACCAACACCTTTGCCTCCCCCCACATTGACGTTGGTGCCACCGCCTGGCTTACCTTTTCCGGTGTTTACATTTACTCCACCCTTTCCAACACCAACAGAAGTACCTCCAGGCTTTCCTTTTCCTGTGTCAACATCTACTCCTCCCTTCCCTACGGACACCGAGGTACTTTTGTCTTCGGTAAAGTCTGCAACATTCAGGTATCAAAAGAACTAGAACTAATAAGAAGAAGCTGATCAACTGGTGTTTAAACAACTAGGAACCTACTGCAGTTTTGGTCAGGATGCCACCTCCAGGCTGGTTGATACAAAACGCAAAGCGAGTATAGACTTATTACTGTTATGTTGTTGGTGGTATTATTGTTTCACATTAGCTAGGGACTCTCATTAAAAAAAGTTATCATATTTCTCTAATTCCAATTCCAAAGTAGTAATAATTTCATGTGGTTTGGTTACACTTGTCTTACCATAAACAACTTCACTATACTAGTGGTAGTTATGTGTTAGATTATACTCTGCCGAACAACAAAATGCCTTAGGTTTCTTGATTTCTTTTTTATTCCTATTTCAAGTGGTACTAAAAGTACCCTTACAATAACTAGATTTCACAGGTATTGTTTAAGTGGAAATGATGCAAGGAAAGTATAGCGTGGCCCTTCAGTACTTACCTGGATGTAGCACATCTCTGACAGCTTGAGGCATTGGAGTGTTGGGCAGAACTGAATTCCAGTAAAGCTCAGGTAGTAAAGCAGCATGGGTCGCCACAAGCGCAACCTGAAGAAGAAGAAGAGATAATATGAGCTACCATAACATCATATTCTTACAAGACAATAACTACTATGGCATATACAAGAAACCCAAATTTTGGACTTTTGGTGAAGTAAGTATCAGTGGCTTACAGCGAGGAAAGCAAGCATCCGTGGGAAATGGAATGCCATCATGAAGATTGTGAGAGTGCTATACAGAAATGGGTGTGGTCAAGTGTAGAACAACTTAAAGCAAAGCAAAGCAAGGTTATGTTATGAAATACAGAGGCATTGGGATGCTGCATTTATAGGGTACATTGTTAAGTAACAGTACTTAGATTAATTGGTATAACACATCATCACCTACATTATCGACGCTCTTAATATCCTCAACTGCCCCTGGCTCCCTTACTTATAACTAGCAGTTATGTCATATGGGGACAGATGTAACAAGAAAACTAGAGGGGATGGGCTTACGTACATCACAAATGTTCTTCAATTTGGCTTTTTGGTATTCTTCCTCAATTTCTTAGGTTCAAAAAAAGCAACCAAAAGTTTACTTTCTTCTGGGCATGTAATATCATTCAGGGTGGTGCCTCTTGTCAGAGATTTGTCCTTGTCTAAGATAGGAAGATGTTCATGGCACCGTACATGAGAAGTGGGATCAGTCTTTTAATTGCGTAGACCTTTGGTTTGAACCTAACTAACAACTAACATATTTATAAGGTTAGTAGAAGTTGAGAGCGGCTATCTTTCATGATCATATAGTTCCAAGTTCAGCATGGGATTTTTCTGGCCTGTTGTAGTATTAGGAGATTTATGAAGCACTTCATGTGTTTCTAGACTATTTCACATTTTGAATGATAGAATGGTTGAAAAAGGAAATTGGGTGTATCTCTTTTTCAAGTACTTCCCCTTATAATGACTATTTTTTAACAATCATTTCTAGCTAGTATACCAACTATTTTTATTATTTGCTAATATAGCAAATTTGGTAAACCTATTTTATGCAAATAAAATTACCCTTTTTTCTTCAAACCATTGTTGTGGGATACTTAATTGGGAGTGAAATGATATCCAGCCTAAACAACCACTAGTCAGTAGTCACAGTTCACACATTCATCGTGAATGGACAACCTTGATAGAAAGTTATAACAGAATGTGCAAATATAGCATTATAATAGTGGATCAATATATATGTATATAGCATTATTATTATTACTCCGGCATAAAGTGTGTTCTATTCATACCTAGAAATGAATTGACCGTCGTATTTCAATGGAGGGAGGGATGAAGATTGCAATGACCACATCATCGTTTTGCCTGCCGTTATATGTAATATATTCACCATGATTGAATTTATCAAAATATAGCACCAAGAAGGGTGCAGTCTATGTATCGGTGAATTTATATCAAATTGAGGTTTTTCTTCAATTCTATCTATTGACGACATATAGTCTGTTTGGGGGGTTCAAAGACTATGTTTGCGATTTAATTGTGACCTTTAATCTGACCGATAATGGCACACCTTATCGGTGAATTTATATTAATTGAGGTTCTTCTTCAATTATATCCATTGAATTATAGCCTTTTTTTCTGGTTCAAAGAGGTTGTTCTTCAGTTATATCCATTGAATTATAGCATTTTTTACGGCTTAAAAACTATGTTTGCGATTTACAATTAAGACGTTTATTATGACAGATAACTGCAAACACCACTATATTAAAGCTGATTAGTTAATCAGAGCTTTTTCTGGTGAACATCCAAGTATTATTATTCTGCCCTCCTATTTTGACTGTGAAATAAATTTGTTTTGAACCATCAGTGGAATAAATTGGTTTGTCTTTCTTTTTCTATAGAACCATAAATTGTTCTTCCAGAAGCTTACCATCGTACAAAATATTGAGCCAGCCTAGGACCATCTAGCCTGGGCCAACACAGCAGGCCATGATCGTGTCACTATCAAATATCATCTCACCACTTCATTTTCTTCTCCTTTCAGAAACAGGACACATCACCTTAGAGTCATGTACCTGAGCTAAAAGCAAAATATTATGACAAAGTAGGCAATCAGAATTACAATTTATTACCCCCAAGTACATGTTATGTTAATGAAGGAAAAAGAAAACTAAAATACACATCAGCTGCGTACTAAATTGATGGATGACCCACCATAATCAGGTCTGTGCTATCTGAGTTGAATCCGGGGTTAGTCTGGGGCAAAACTCGAATGGGAAACCGAAAAAATGATGGATGACCCAAATCTCTCCCCTTTGATCTCTTGTCAAAAACAAAGAAAAAAGAAAAAACATGAGTCGATTAGCCTCCGGTGGATCCACATGTTATATGGGCTTGCTTACTATAAATCCACATGTTATATGGATCCATATATTCCAAAAATTGTGTGGGCTTGCTTGTTTAATATTCAAGGGGGAAAATAAACTTGGGTCTTTTTCTTGATACTAGTCCAGGAAAGTGAGACTCAAACTCGAGACCTCACTCTTTTTCTACTTTTGAAGGTCATTTCAGGATTTAGAACCCATTTAGTGCCTTTACCGGTTACTTTGATTTTGAAACTTTCTTGGATCCCCTCAATGTGTTTATGAGGGTTTACGGCATGATTGTATGGGAATAGCCCAAAGTAGAAATGTAAGAAGGTAATAGTTTTTGTGTGGCCTGGATGGCCATTGTTTTACCCAAAAAGAAAAATGCAATTATTGCATCCAAAAATTAAAAACGGAAACTGATGGGAGGACAGGCCGGCCATCCGCACAATTGTTGACAGGAAGAAAAAAGGATGAGTCGTATGTTTGTGGAACTAGGAGTTGTGAAACAAGCCCAAATTATGTGGGCTAGCGGCCCAATTCGGTTGCCTGTTTCCGGGTCTTGTTTACCCTCCAATTAAGCTCTCTCTCATGAACTGTAGCCATAAGGCCCATAGACACAGCACGCAAAATTTGTTTTTTTTTTTTAAGTAAAAATATATCAACAATATTTTGGCCATTCAAACCATACATCAACATTGGCGATTTTCTTCAGGTATCACAAAAATATTCTTGTTTCTTGTGGAAATCGGATATATGGGCCTAATTTCTTAGATTGCATTTAATACGAGAGCAATACAAACAATACCACTAGGAATTGGTTTTGGTTTTCAGATGTTTTAATCTCAACAATTTAACTTTGTCTAGCTCCTAACAGTAGATCTTTTTATAATTATATAAATGTATATAGCCACTCTTTCAAATTTGAGACATGCTATGGAGGAATGATTTTCCTTTCTCCTAGGCTTTCTTGTAGGAAAACTTTTATTATAGTAACTTGAAAATCTAATCCCAGATTATGTTTACTAAACTTCGTACTAATTAAAAGCATGACGTGTAACGGGAAAGCTTGATCCGTAGAAACTAATCGACAAAATCCTTTCTTATGGTGGGATAAGCGCACTATCTTCTTTATTTATTTATTTTTCCACATATTTAAGCCAGTTCAGGTGTATTTAGAGCCATTTAAAAGAAAAAGTATCTAAAAACATCTTTTGTCCACTAATGCCACCTTTAAAACTTTTTCCTTGTTAACGTATCAAAAAAAAATTATAAAAGAAACCCTTTTACTACATCTACTACTCTCTTGCGGTGTTATTATGGTATCTGATGGTGGGCATTGTGTCATCCACTCATTAAGAGATTTTCTTTTTCCATTTTCACAACCTCAACGGGTCAATCTTCTATGGGTATAGTTTGGCAGCGACACATTGGTGGGGCGGTTTATGCTGCCAATCCTTTTGTTTTGTGGAAATCAAAAATGATTAAAGCAACTTAAGCATTCAACTTAATGATCCCTATGAACGTGCATATGTATCCCACAATATCTTATGTGCATTATTCACTTCAAGAATCCAAGTAATATTTTGAACACAATTATTTTAGAGATTGAACATTGCATTGCTTGTTTTGGATCATTTTGTATATGATCAATTTGAACCAAATGGAACGGAGGGCTTGGTTCTTTCCTCTTGCTGTTATAATATACCATATCTAATTGTACGGATCATCCTCAAATGCGAAGGGAGTGATTTAGTTAATTAGCATGTAAAGAGAATCTAATTGGCCTAACCCATCAACAAGTCAAGAGCATCGATTGTGCTGTTTGAGAAGCCGCTCGCGCTATTGATTATTCGTTCATTCGCTACCATATAAAAGTTTGAGCTAGATTGGTTGTGTGACACGACAACTTTGTATATGGCATCTTTATGTGATGGAAAGAATGCTTCGCGTTTTTTCGTTTTCGACAAGTGAAATTTTGAGAAAAAACGAATGTGTATATGTATCCATCCAACCACCACTGTTTCTCCTTGTTATATATGTTTAGGGAGACCATATATAATTATCAAGTGCTAACCCCATAGAGAGCAAACAAAAAAATTGAAGTGCATTCTGGAAGGTTAGAAAGTGCCCTGAAAAGGGTTTGGCATGAAATAATCTTGTTATACCTAGCTTTAACTGATTTTAGTAACGAAGGTTTATTATAAAGATGTCGATGTTAGTTGGGAGAACTTAAAGAAAAATTATAATCGAAGATCAAAAGATTGGTATGATGCTGATTCCTAGTTGCTTTTAAAATTTTAACATAATTAATCTACTTCATATATAAGTTCAATACCCAAACTCCATATGGAAAGTCGAATAAGGTATCAGGGATTTTAGTTTTCATGTAAATGATTGGATTATATTATCCCACGGCCACTCGCGATATCTGGGATTAAAAAATTGCTTATATTTAACATCAAATGGTTGCCTTACTTGGTAATATATAATGCATACGTACTATATATATAAGCAGACAAAGGACTCACAAACACACTCATATACAATGCATTGCTTCTTCTCTTTGAATAGTAAAATTAGAAAAGGGGTTGGGGACAAATGCACTTTAAATCATGGAAAAGTTTCCTCCCCACGACTGTCTAATCAAGCTTTAAACGTGAGTGATTAAATCATAGTTTAGCTCTTTATGGGGCTAAAAAAGCTTTTTAAGAGTGGAAGGAGAGGCCCACAATGATTCTGTGTCATATATACATTTAGTTAGTTGCTCTTAATTTGATCAAGAAGGTGAAGTAAAGTTATTGCCCACTTTCTTTCCTATAAATGAACCATACTAGCTAGCGGAATCTTGTTTCCAGCTATAACCTTTGA